TCTAAACTCCCTAAGAAATGAAACTAACCTAGAGGAGAGGTTTATAACTACAGCTCAAGGTGCTAGGCTAGAAGGGGACGAAGCTATTGTATATATAAGAACAAGGGTGACAGAAAAATTTCAACAAAGAAGTGCCTTATGCATCACAATAGACAAGGATGGATCAAGTGGTGCAATGGCTCCATTTTCACAACGATGGATCAAGTGGCGCAAGGGCTCCATTTTCACAACGAGAGTGGGAAAGGGCTGAGAAGAGGGTTCCAAGTAGTACATCAACAGGCCCAGACGGCATTCCAATTATGCTGATAAAGACATTAGGTCCGAAGTCTAAGCAGGCTTTGAGAGAGGCAGTGAGCAAAATAATAATAGATGGTTGAAGTCCCTGATGGATGGAAACTTAGCAGCATGAGCACGATTTATAAAGGAAAGGGGGACAAAGATGACATAAACAACTACCGTCCTATAACAATGACATCGGTGGTCTACAGGCTGGCGATGCAGATTATAAAGGAAAGACTGCAGGCATGAATAGAGGATGGGGGGGTGCTGGGGGAACTACAGAATGGGTTTCAGAAACGCAGGAGGTTGGAAGACAATCTGTTCTCACTGATGCAGTGCATCGAAATAGCAGAAAAAAAAACTCAGGCCCCTGTGACTAGCATTTTTGGATATCAAGGGAGCGTACGATAGCGTGGTTCAAGAGGACTTGTGAGGATACTAGACACACTGAATGTGGAAGATGGAGTCACTAATCTTTTAAAGGAAATCTATAAAAAGTAACAAGGTAGTTATAAAGTGGGAAAAACAAGTATCCAAGCCCACAGAGGTGAAACGGGGACTTAGGCAGGGGTATCCTCTGTCACCCTTGTTATTCATGATGTACCTACAAGGATTAGAGGCCAAATTAGAGGGAAGTGGACTTGGCTTCAACCTCTCTTTAGTCAAACAAGGAAAACTCATTGATCAGGCACTACCAGCATTAATGTACGCAGATGATACAGTGCTAATGGCCGACAGCAAGGAAGATTTGCAGAGATTGATGAACATCTGCAGTAATGAGGGAGATAGGTTAGATTTTAGATTCAGTAAGAAAAAATCAGCAGTCATGATTTTTAATGATAATGAAGGTAATGAGCTTAGAATACAGTAGAGATAACAGATAAATACAAATATCTGGGCGTATGGATAAGCAATGGGACCGAGTACCTAAGAGAACACGAAATATACGTGATGACTAAAGGTAACACGAATGCAGCAGTGATGAAAAATAGGGCAATGTGGAATTACAATAGGTATGATGTTGTGAGAGGAATATGGAAATGGGTCATGGTTCCTGGGCTGACGTTCGGCAATGCGGTCTTGTGCATGAGATCAGAAGTTCAAGCAAGATTAGAAATTAAGCAACGTGGAATAGGTAGGCTTGCTTTAGGAGCTCACGGGAATACACCAAATCAGGGAGTACAAGGTGATATGGGATGGACATCATTTGAGGGCAGGGAAGCTAGCAGCAAGATGAAATTTGAGAAGCCATTGAGAGAAATGGGGGAGGAGCGTTGGGCAAGGAAGGTTTTCAGCTACTTGTACGTGAAGAATGTCAATACAAAATGGAGGAAGCGAACCAGGATATTGACTGGTAAATACTTAGAAAACAGCAGGTGGCCAAACCAAAAAGAACTATCGGTTTAAGAAGAAAGTGAAGGAAACGGAGACTGACATGTGGAGAATTGGCATGATTAAGAAGTCCGCACTAGAAATCTATCGAACTTTTAAGCAGGAAATTGCCAAGGAAAGGATCTATGATAATACTCGGGGTAGTTCTCTACTGTTTTAGGCCAGGACGGGAGTATTGCGATACAAGACATATCGGGCCAAATACGAAGGGGTAGACACAGTATGCAGTGCGTGTGGAGAGGAAGAAGAAACTGCCGAACACTTGATAATGTTCTGTAAAGGGCTTCACCCTATAGTACAGGATGATGGCGCAGAGTTTTTCAAAGCACTGGGGTTTAGGGACAGGGACGGCAAAATAGACTTTAAGCGGGTAGAATTAACTAGAAGGAGGTTATCTGATTGGTGGCTAAAGTCAAGGCATGAGTGAAAATTAAACCCTTCACTGCAAAGTACGAATCCTCAACCTCACAATTTAAAGGAAAAAAAAAAAGATAAATCTAGTGGTTAGTTCACTAAGTATTACGGCTAGGTGGCTTTAGCCGCAGCCCGATCTAAAGGGTACAGTCACGTCCATCCATCCATCCATCCTTTGTCTTCTCCGGGAGCTCATGTAATGAACACTTTTCATTACTGCTCGGCCGCATGAACACCTCAGAAGCCAAGACAGCAGGGCAGCGGGCTTGCAATGAGCAGCTCGGGCTCACCGCTAAGACCCTGCGTTACAGCCCGGGACACATAACGTTGTCACGTCTATATATGATGGTAGGGGATGTGTACGGAGATTCCACGGTTAACCCGATCATCTGAAAGCAAGCTCTTCTAATGTCATTCACTTTGTGGGTATGGCGGTGATTTTTATCGCCATGGAATACCAGAGCAAGAAATAACCATTTCAAGAAAGTGACCCCCCCCCCCCCACGAAAAAAATTCTGACTTTGCCCTAACTTTCCGTGCTTGCCTCACCCTCCCATCACCCTGCGACGCATTTTATATCCCATTGCCCCTCCTGCATATGTTGCACACTACCCTCGCCAAGCTAACCCATTTATGCGCACTATCAACATATGTGGACATTGTACTTGCCGGTTCTCTGGGCTATAATGACCAAGAAAGTGTAAGGTACATTGAGCATAGAGTAAACGACGGCCTTCTGCATAGCGCACAAGAGCTAATTTAACTTCAGTGCACTGTGTATGACTGTAGACGATCACTTTGGTGCAGGGGTGTAGGCAGAAATTATTTATTTGTGTGTGTGTGTGTGTGTGTGTGGGGTGGACAAGGAGAGCAGAAAGGTTGGTCTTAAAATTAATCTGCAGAAAACGAACGTAACGTACAACCTCGGAAGAGAGCAGCGCTTTGAGATAAGTAATAGTGCACTTCAAGTTGTAAAAGACTATGTCTACTTAGGGCAGGTAATAACCGCGGAGCCGAACCACGAGATTGAAGTAACTAGAAGAATAAGAATGGGGTGAGGTACATTTGGCAAGCACTCTCAAATTATGACAGGTAGATTGCCACTATCCCTCAAGAGGAAGGTATATAACAGCTGTATCTTGCCGGTACTTAGCTACGGAGCAGAAACCTGGAGACTTACAAAGAGGGTTCAGCTTAAATTAAGGACGACGCAGCGAGCAATGGAAAGAAAAATGGTAGGTGTAACCTTATGAGACAAAGAGAGAGCAGAGTGGATTAGGGAACAAACAGGGGGTTAAGGATATCGTAGTTGAAATCAAGAAGAGAAAATGGACATGGGCCGGGCACGTAGCGCGTAGACAGGATAACCGCTGGTCATTAAGGGTAACTAACTGGATTCCCAGAGAAGGCAAGCGAGTTAGGGGGAGACAGAAGGTTAGGTGGGCAGATGAAATTAAGAAGTTTGTGGGCATAAATTGGCAGCAGCAAGCACAGGACCGGGTTAACTGGCGGAACATGGGAGAGGCCTTTGTCCTGCAGTGGACGTAGTCAGGCTGATGATGATGGTGTGGGGTGGGGGGGCAACACTTTGATCTGAGGCATTGACCAGGCTGGCAAATGGTCAATTTGTGCTATTGTGAAAAAAAAAAACTTCAGGGAAAGGGGCATGGGTTCGTTGAGCCACCTCCTGGCTATAGCAGTTTTCTTGGCTTGATTTCCTTGGTTGGTTTCACTTGGTTGTGTCTTAACAAAGAAACAAACCACTAAAGCAATATCCCTTCTTTAGCATTTAGACTAGTGCTTCGGAGAGCACAGCGTGTTATAGCTTTCTGGTGTAAGTGCCAGAAATAGTAGCACACCTGACAAGCTTTTGCTACTATTGGAACGGTATGCCCTCCACAAAAACTAGCCACAATTTCTTTTTTTGTTCTAATATCTGTTAGGCTGGAGTTTAATAGCCTTTTATAACACATTATGACATATTTATACACTTTTTAGCACTCAAGAAATTTGTTAAAGAGTGCTAAATCACACTTGACACAAATTAAAAAAAGATGCTTTCATTTGAAATGCAATCTTATTTAATTTCAATGGCTACAGTTTTCTCTAGTCCGGTCCAAGCGTTAGTGACTGAAGGTGATAAAGTTCCTTTATAATTGAAGGTGACCATATTCCTTGGCTTGTTAAGGCAGTTGTGTCTGGTAGCAACACTTTCACACCGACATTCGTGTGCCCTGGTGTATTCCTTGGGTTAACTGTTTCGTCGCATTGTTGAAGAGGATCTCTGAGGCCATGTAGAAGGGAGTTTAGGGTTGAGATCAGCCCTGCCAGATGCCGCAGCGATCCCACATGTTCACAAAAAAAGTGTGTTCTATCAATGAACTCACTCAATTAATTGTAATTAATTATCCTTACAGTTAATTATTGCTTAAGTTAGCTTATGGTCCGATGCCATGCATATCCAACATAACTCTCATCTTGGACCGAAACCGTTAATTTCGTACCAGGTTCATTTTTTACAAGAATTTTTTGAATATTCGAAAAACTGCAAGTGTGACTGAAAGTAGTTAGAAGAGAAAAAAAAAGTTTCACTTCATGTTCAAGTTACTATAATAAAAGGTCATTCGCAACACAACAGAAATGCTATAGCCCATTTCAATTATGTCCTTGATGGACAGGGCACTTGCAATTGGACAATAGTGCCACCTTTTGTAGTAGCTGAGTAACTTTGACACAATATCAATGTGTCGGCCATGTGTCACATGTCATAGTGACATACAGCCAACATGTCACAGTAATGCAATGATGCAACATGTCCAACATGCTGGTCATGTGTACAAGCTGAACACGAAGAAGTGAGAGTCGAATGTACCCTGGTAAGCAGTTTGGGCCCAGACGGACACTTCTCTGCCATAATAGCGCGTACCACAAGATTTATTGGGGCAGCTGCGTAACAGTTGAAGTAGATGTGGCTGACATTTAAAAGTAGCAAGTCATTCTTGGTCCATTTGGGTGAGGGACCGGTGCAAGTCCATCAGACCCCGTGCCTTCTCCTGCTCCTCGAGCAGTCTGAGTCTAAGCTCTTCGCCTTCCATCTTTGAGTGAAGTGCGATGACTCGCAGCGTGCCGGCGAGTTCGACCTCAGCTCTGCGCAGCTTCCTCTCCACATCAATATAGAAGAGCGGACTCTGTGAGTTGAAAGTAGTCATGTGACCTCATTAAAATTCTCAAACTGAGCTGTTTGTTGTGAATTTATTCTACATCGTGCAGGGCTCACAGAAACAGGAATGAAAGAATAAATGTGCATGCCAAGTGCCGACGCGCAAGCCACATTATATTCGAAACAGAAGCTTGCAGCACGTGCATATGCATGCGTTAAAGCTGCTGACGGAAAGGCAGAAACCTATAATCCGTTTCATACATCAGGCAGGACACAGTGGAAGCTATCCAGACTGCTTGCAGTACGTGTGTTCGGACCGGAAAATAGTTAAATGAGATCAACACACGCCATACACTTTTTTTAACAGAGGCTATCGGTAACTTGTGCGCCATCGTGCCAAATTCTACAACTAGGTATGCACCTTGAGAATTATGCAGGCCCCACTACCGCGCACAGCACGAGCGAGCATTAAATTAAAGCTCGGCTTGGCGAAGTGGAGCACGTGAAAGAGAGAGAAAGGGAGACATAGAAAGAAATAAAATAGAGAGTGAGAGATAGAAAGCCATAGAAAAAAAATAGAGAAATAAAAGAAAAAAGTAGACAAAGAAAGGCAGAAAGAAACAGGCATGAAAGAGCGATAGAAAAAAAAGAAAAACAGGAACAAAGAAATAAAGAGAAATAATGAAAGCGATAGAAAGAAGCAGAGAAAAAGAGAGAGAGGGAAGAAAGAGAAAGAAATAACTGGAAACAAACAGGTACAAAAAAAGAAAAGATACAAGAAACAGAACAAAAAAGAAGGAAGTTAAAAAATTAAAAGAAAGGCCACCAAGCTCTGTTATTTTTTTATGTCTGGCACCGCTAGTGCGTAGACCCCATAATTTTTTAGACTGAATAATAAATTAAGGTACTTAATGACTTAGAAATAAACAAGCTCCATTATTTATATGGTTGTAAACAAGTTATTCTGAATCACTTGGTATCTGCCTTATTTCCTATCGCAGCCTCTGCGATTAGTTCTACTAGTGCATAGCCGCAGCCAATCATAGCGGTCACGTTTACGACGAAATCCAAGTGTACATTTTGCCGTCTGAAATTCTTCCGTAACTTCCACGGCGTTATGGGAGAATTCTTATTTCAAGGTGTTGCACCTGACAAGTGAAATAGCAAATGCGGTTAAATTAGTTGCACTGATGTGATCGTGTTACTGATTGACAGGTAACTTGCACACTACAGGCATGTAGGAAAATCCAAGATCCCTGATGCTTCAGGATATGAAATTATTCATGCCAGAAGGAAAGGCCAAGGAGGGGGGGGGGGGGGCAGTTACATGCACCATAAACGGCATGTGTGTAGAGCATATAGAGCATAATTACATTTTCGTTTTCAAAGAGTCCATCCGCAATTAGGTTTGACACTTCGTACGCTCTCCTCAGGACATCAGCAGGTATGTGTGACACTTCAGCCAGTTTCAGACCTGAAAAAGAAACACAGCAATAGCAAAGCAACAAATAAATAAAAAAGGCCAGCATAGTAAGTGTGCTTCATAAATCTGCATGTGTCTGTAGTAGAGAGGTTTGGTAGTTGGTCTTATTATTGTATATGCGAGTTCAAAATGCTGGACAGTGTAAACATGGGCACGAGGGCTGATGTTCAACTAAAGTGCAAATAATTTTTCTGTGTTCAACTAAAGCACAAATAATTTTTATTTCGATAATTGATTTCATTATGCACCACAAAAAAACAACAACGCCAGGCCTGTGTGGAACACAGCACGATCATAGCAAAACCTGGAGGAGCGGCCTTTCTAGAGTCAGTTTTTAACTATCCGGGGGTGAGTTGTACAAGTACAGTTGCAAGAGACTATTCCATGAACTATAATCATTTTGCAAAGAAGGAACGTTACCAATTACATCATTATTCATTAGTTCCGTGGAAAAGCCAGGTACCCATCATGCATCAGTTGGGCACTACGTGCACTTTGCTGATGAAGATGATGAATAATGGCTGAGCCCTTTGTAATGGGTGGGAAACCTCAAACTGCTCACTTGTTACGCAATTCATGTTGTGTGACGCCTGGCTGTTACTTTACTCTTCTACTATGCTATACTACATTTGTTAACACAATTCGTTGCCCAACACGGCATCTGCCATAGATGTGGGCAGTTACGCCACCTAGATTGCCTGTTCTTGCTATCTTATGACTGTTCTCGCTGTAAAGTGTATAAACACTGAGGCAGTAATACCGATTTACAAGTATGTGAGGATGCAAATAAAAAAAGTAAGATATGCCATTTCCAATGTTAATGCCAACTGTCAAAAACTGAGTGCCATACTACCATCCCTGACTAAATAAATGTGTCATGGTTTCTGATTAAATGTTTTATTGCTTTGCTTATTAGTCAAGCTATGCTCATGCTTTTGGGAGAAGTCAGTAAAAAAAAAGCAGCCTGTCACCGATCTCGAGAAAGCTGGGTGGATGCTATTTCTAAAAATAGAGAGCATGGTGCTTATAACTGATTAATGTCAGTGGACCATTAACAGGAATTTTAAGGACTTGTTTTAGGGGTAAAGCTCCTTATAGCGGCACCCGTTCGTCCCTCACAGTCGTAGTAGTAGTGAGTAACCAGTCTCACATTTTGACCTCCAAGGTGGTGCCAGAGGGAGATTTCTTCTGTGCGTTGTTGAACAATAAAAAATTCGCAGCGTGCGCGTTAACTAAAAGCCGAATTCTCCTGTGTCTCATTCCCAATTAGCAGCCATTGGCATGTACATTGAGCACTATCTGACAAGAAAGAGTTGCTAGGTTATACTCACTGGGAATAACCTCCTTGCAATGGTTTTAGAAAGGTTTAGTGAGCGTTGGGCCGCAGTGTCATGAATACAGTGAACTAGTATATACCATGAACTCGAAGTGGTTAAAGGTGGGAAGTAGACACGAAGCGCAAGCTGTTAGAAAGTGTGCGTGTGCCTTCTCTCGTTCAGTCCTTGGAATGTCCGTTGAATGGTAGTGCTTCTATATGAGGAATATATGATGAAAAGATGCGAGATGGTGGTACTTGGAGTGTTGAATAGGTGGACGAACGGACACGCAGACAGATGCATGGACGGACGCACGGATGGCTGCACGAACGGATGCAGGAGCAGATGCAATGGACAAACGCAGGTACAGACACACAGATGGACGTGCGGACGCACGAACAGACGCACACACGGATGGACGCACGGGCGGCCACACAGATGCACGCATGGACGGACGAAGCAAGAACGAATGGACGGTCGGATGCTTCGCCCCACTCTCCATCATTCACTCCGTGAATATGTTGCCATTTTTTTACTTTTAAAGCACCACATTAATTAGGACTAACAGATGAGAAAGCTAAGTAAAGTATAGGAGATGTTATTTTATAGTGATGGTGATGTAAATGTTAAGAAAGTGCGGCGAATGAAAAAGACATCCTGCCAATGGCAGGGACCAAAATGCCAACTTCGAATTCAAAGGTCGCAGTTTCGGTTCCCACCTGAGGCAAGTTAACTTTTCGTCCGTTTTCAGTGAATTCTCAGTTAATTTCTCAGGGCTGTAATAGGCTACTGTAATCAGTTGCATTGTAATCATTTGAAAAAAGTGATTATAATTACTATCGGTAAAATATTTTTGCCGTAACTTGTATAAGATTGTTGCAACTGATGCGCTTTGTATGTAACAGCAGTGCAAGCAATGTTAGACCTACAGGTTCAACGTGAAAGAAGCATATGGCAATTTTCGCAGCTAGGAGGACAAATGCAATTTCTTTTCGAAATGGACACTGCAGCTGGGGCCATACTCAAAGCCTGACTGCACACTTACCGTAGTTAAGCTCGGAGCATGTCCCTCTGGCGAGCCTGTGCGTGTAGCGTAGTCTGGTGCTGCTACCATCAGGACTGTCGTTGGGCCTGTCGTCACCTTCGTCCTCCGTCTCCACTTCCATGTGGTAGCTGCGGGATCAGAACTTTAAATCTGGCTGGGCACCTACACTCAACAGGTATATGCATCTCGGGCCTACCCTTCCACATGTCTGAACAACAGAAGGATAACTTCTTCAAGAGCCTGCTAAGGTTAAGGCTTGGGCGCGTTGGTACATAGAGCAAAGAAGAGAAAAACAGTGGCAAAATTTCTTGGCAAGCACACAGTGCTTGTCGTCGTCCGTCTTCCTGTGTGTTTGTCAAAAAATTTTAGTGGTTTTTTTTCCTTCCTCCAAAAGCTCGTTTCTTTCTTAGACACAACCAAATTAATCTGATGGACAACCAGGCCGAGAAAAGTGTGGGGGACATTAATTGCTGTCTTTAACTGAGGTGAGGTAGCAATGGCATAAATTGAGAAGAATCAAAGTTGACATAAAATAACCCTTTTTCTCTGTGGGATCCAAACCCACAATCTTTGGGTAACGCGTCTGATAGCTATGACACCAAGAGTGGTCCTCCTCCCCTTTCCATTGGACTAATGTATAGAAAAAAAAAATTGGCCCCGTATCTGCATGTTTCACTGCAAATGTCGTCGAAAGACTATATTCATGTATGTAGAGAAAGTGAACAAAACGTTTATTTGATGTTCTGCGCGAGAAAATTGTATTCTGGAAGCGCTGCATTAGGGAGTCTCGATCAGTGCAGCGAAGGCTAACGAGTCCATCGAGGCACGTTATACACGAGCGCCATCTGGAAGTTCATGTGCCTGTTTCGGAGGCGATAAGGAGTACAAGGCAAAGCGACGGGCAGGTGCCACCACCATATCGTATAAGCAAAGCATTGGAAACACTTGCTTTTTTGAGCATCGCGTTGCACTGTCAGCGCAGATTGATAAACGCTACGGTCTTTAGAATTCCTTGTGTGTGTGCCTTCTCTACAAAACACATACAAAACATTGACGTGTTGTTATGGTGTCTCAGATATGTGCAATAATTGCTTTTTAATGAACAATTGCACAAGTACAAACGCTGAAACTTGAGAAATATTGCTGGGCACTACGGATGGGGTTGGCCGTTTGAGGTATCGTTTGGTCACTTTGATGCCATAAAGAAAATTGTTACCGCAGACAAACAGACAAATGTACAGACAGACAGACAGACAGAAAGACAGACAGACTATAATTTTGGCATCGAAGGTCCCAAGAAAGACTATCGTCTTTAAAAATTCAGGCTTTGCAACGAATGCAAATATGAGAATGGAGTGATGACATGCTGCTCACAATGGCCAGCCTTCGGTCCTGGTCTTCTGGGAAAGAAGCTGCGGAACACCGCACATTGTGGTTCATTCCATTGTGCCACAAGATGTCGTCACGGCACAGCTGCTCCACGATATAAATACTTTGTGTTTACAGCATCAATGTCTTTCCATTACTAACTTCCTTGATCCTTCAAGCACTACAGTTCATGTCGAGAAGTCGTAGTGTAGCTCGTGTACACAGTATTACGAGAGCAGGTTAGCGGATAGGAGAGACTAAAAGAACGGCGGTACTCGCTTTATCACGTTGGGGTACATGGATTCCAGCTGCGTCATCAAGTCGAAGTGAGTGGCGACGATCACAAAAGCCTGCAGAAATGAGGAGAGGTATCGTACACTTTGCACCAGTGAGCGAAAGAGGGTGCGCTGCATTTCATGTTATAGTAGCTAAGAGAAATTTTAAACGTTCGCGGTAACACGTAGCGCAACTTTGCTTGCACAGCTTAATTATTCAGAAAGGTGAAACGTACCTATGTCTCCAATAGAAATGTGTAATGGATAGATGAAAAACTTTCGCTGATTCACTTTTCGTCTAGCTACTATAGCGTGTATATCACAACTCACAAAACGAAGCTGCCAAAACCACATCGAACAAGTTTAGTAAGTCGTAGTAAAAATGGAATGTTGTTACAATTGTTTAGGAACCATCTCTCTGCACCTTTCACCCAAGAGGTAACAGGAACACTCATGTATTTCGTGGCGAAATTTCGGAGCAGACATTGAAAACTTTTGCAATGCCATTAGCTAAACTACGTGTCTTGTGTCATTCACTGTAGAGTCGTTAGCACTGAAGTAAATTAGGAGGACTTTCTTATCATGTGATGATAATTGATAAAGAAAGCTCAGCCGTGTTAATGAATGTAAGCTATTGGTTGCACATACCGCAAGCCACGAAGCACTTCCAAGCTGTGCCTTTGACTTTCAGCTCTCATACAAGCACACATGGTCACTTATGAAATTTTGTGAGGTAACACGTCTACAGTGAAATGGATTGCAATCCCACTGTTTGCTGATGTGCAAAATGAAATCAGAACAAACTCACGTCCGAGTTGATAAGTTTCTCGGTGATTGCCACACACATTGCAGAACCTTCCTCTTCGCTTGTACCTAAGGACGAAACGACAGGCAAGTGCAAAATCGTATTGTACTCGGCCTAACACAACTTCACCTAAATGTAGAAACTAGGTTTTCTAACTAAAAAAAAAAGACATTTCATCATATCTTTCGAAATATTGTTTGATAGATAAGGAAGAATTAATTTCCGGAGTCCTCCACTACGGCGTCTCTCATAATCATATAGTGGTTTTGGGACGCTAAACCCCACATATCAATCAATCAATTAGATAAGGAAGAATTCCACGTAAGCTGATGAAATAAGTTGACATTTATTCCTCAATGCTTCTGCAGTTTATATAAATATACTCACTCGATTGTGTGCAGTACTCTAAATACACACTGGCACTAACATTCCACATGAAAAACGTTCCACTTGCAGCTGGCTTTAACCCCTTCAGAAGGAAAGATTTTGGTTTCAGTAGACCAGCTACATAGAACTATAATTCAGCTCAAAGGCAATGAATATCCAGCTGCAATAGGGCCAAATTTTAGCTGGGGACTGATGAAATTCCAGCTAGATACTTATCTGTTTTCAAAATGATTATCAAACCATCTCTACAGCTGCGAAGATCTCCTGTTCGATGACTCAGCAGTAAATAGAACCTTTTTGTCTGGGATGTGTTCCTGCTCATGTTTACTGATATTTGCTAATGCTTAAGCTCCCTCAAGTTACGTCTCAGGCCTCATTAGACCGTATTGTCATTCATCTAGCAGGCCAAGAAATGAAGTACGTTTGGGTGGATACCAACAGATTTTCGGTATCACAGCGGGCTGGTCAGAAAACTACAAGGTGACATCTTCACCTACTTTATGTTCTCGAGTTTCATATGGCCTACTACACGTTCTCTAAACGTAATTTGTCTCTTGCGCCGCAAAACACAAATTTACCAGTAAGTCAAAAATGTAGTTTCCTCCAGCACATTTAGATCTAGTAAAAAGGTGTCTGGCTTGTTTTTCTCTGTTTTTTTTACCACTTAAATCACTGAATGTTCCAGATGAGGAGCTAATTGATATATTTCATGTATGAACATTGAAAACATTTTGTGTGAAGAATACACTACCAAGAACACGTGTTCACGTAAATAGGAAGGGTGAACCGAGCTAGTTGGAATTGATTCATGTAATAGATTAGGTGCTAAAGCATGACAGTGATGAAAGTAGAGCACATCATGTAGTTAAAAAACCTAAACAGACAAACAATACAAAACAATAACCAAAGAATCAACCTTTACCTTAAGTGCATTCCCTCTAACGTATGGTATTTGTTGCTTTTCTTTCAAGAATGACATGTCGCTCTTCAGAAATAAACCTTCAGCTGTTTTCCCCCTACCTCTTTTTTTTTCTCGTTTTTAGTGCAAAAGTTCAGAGTGTTCATGACTGAGTCCACCTTAAGAAAAAATAGAAACGCGCAGCGAAATCAAACGGTTACATCAACTTGCTGGGATTGTGTGTGGCTGATGCCATAGTGCGATGCTGTAGCCATGGTGCATGGCTGTAAAGCAGGGCTGTAAACTGACCTCGCCCAAGTTCGTCAATGATGATGAGTGAGCTGTCAGTGAAATTCTGCAGGATGTAGTTGATCTCCCGCATCTGGAGAGTGAGTAAAACAACAGTGGAAGGTCGTCAGCAATGGCACAGTTTACGCGTAGAAAGTACTGTCACACTGTACTATCACTGAAGAACAAAACTTTGTAACAACTCTGAGTAAAGGAAAGTTGAAGCTTGGACTTGTGCTTGAAAGATACACGACAATTGAAATACAACAGTGGTGAACGAAATCATTACACAAGCTCAAAGTGTATGTATCATAGTACATTTATGTACATATAGCAGTACGTATTAACTGCAAAAATATACACACAGGTATGCATTGTACTAATTCCAAGGTAATGCTAGTGCTCAAGTCCATCGGAGAACCCATAGCAACACTCGCATTGAAAGTGCAATGTTATATTGTGAGGGATGCGCCAGTGACATCCAGGAAATTTTAGATTGAGCAAAAGCCTCTTGCACGGAGCAACAGCTTCCTAACAGCAATAACCCGATTAAAGTGTGGTTGCTGGCCAAAAATCTCTTTTTTTCGGGACCTGTTGCAAACAACGTATGCTTACGACAAACACATGCTCTGCACGCACATTGCCCCGTCAATGATTTTGTGAAGATTTTTTTAGGGTCCCGGCAACACTAGAGCCGCGCGCTCAATTTGCGATGGAGCATGCCCAGGAGGCCAAAAAAACGTCACAAGTGGTACCAGGGCTACAATAAAACTTCATTGTGATAAACCCAAATCTCCCATTGAAGCCACCATGACTTCGAATGATGGTTTTCAGCATGATTTCCATTACGTGCATAGGTTAGAAAACCTGCTTGACTCTGACCAAGAAACGAGTTGGAGTGAGCTCAGCTGAGGATAGACTTGGTGGGAATGAATCTAAGTGAGCCGTAAAAAGAAATATACAGATGAAGCTTGGTGTGAGCAAGTGGTGTGGCATACCAGGCGGTAAAACATCGCGCAAAGAACACAAGTGCTAGAAGGAACGCTCGCAACAGACGAGCAAAAGTCTTGCACTCATCTGTTTCCTTTAGTTCTCATGTTTTCTCGCACAACATTTTACGTTAAAAAATATCCATTTTGTAAGTTGGTCTTACTTAGTTTGGTTTATATTGGCCGCCTGTTGTTGCATGCAGACGTCGGCAAGTGCTTGCAATTACTTTGATATACCCTATGATTCACCCTATGCATCAGGTGCAGCTGTTTCCATATCCCAGCATGCAACACAATAATATAACAGCACGAATACCTCCATGAGGAAAGTGGAGCAGTTGGTCTCGATGTCGTCGCGGTGTCCCGTGCGCGCGAAGATCTGGTCGGCGATGCGGAATGATGCGTACTTGGCTGGCACGAAGCAACCCAGCTGAGCCATCACCTGTAACGCAGCCACCTGCTTCAAGTAGGTGGACTTGCCACTCTGCAATAGTGGGTGGGCATGAGATTGTTAAATTTTTTTTTAGTGTCACAAGCACCGAGTGACACTACTGTTTCTCTTCCATGCATATCCAATGGGGCAACTTCCGGTTTTAAGAATGCTCATAAAGAGTAGTATTTAAAAAAAACGAAAACTGATGGTTGTGGTTTGGATACATGTGATATTAGGCCAATTAAATGCCATTATAATTAATGAAAACTCATTGACTGTGTTCACAGCTGGGATTCTTGCAGTACCTGGTGGAGCATGTCTCAACCACACATTTCTTTCTACGCAGCCTCAGAGATCTACTTTAGCAGCACGCAAAACACAGTTGACATAAGGAATTCACCAGGACACATAAACACCAACATGCAAGTGCCGCTACCAGACATCTAAGTCAAACATTAGGGTTGTTTTAGAATTTGTTTAATGCATTTTTTGCTTTCAATAAGACGCATGCGAAAAATTTTAAGAATTATTCGCATCCATGAGACAATCATAAATGACCCCTAAAGTACCGGCCATTCTACAATGAAAATCATGAAATCTGGCACGTTTGGAATAGTGACAGGTGAATTAGAGATTAGTGGAATGAATGTCAATAGAAGTAAAATGTAGCCAATGATGAAGTAAGCTTTGGTGGATTGATGAGGTGAAGTTTTTCAGACACAGGACAAGATTAGCTGATGCAAGTTATCTTGCCCTGTGATTCTAGAGTTTGTATGAAAGAAGATTACCACGGCAAATGTACAGCAAAAAACAGCATGAGAGATAAGAGCAGGGTCATAGAAGTAACAGAAACTGATACATGCGTAGGGGTGTAATAAATTAACGAATACGGTTCTCAGCAATGAGCTTGGTCAAGAATGAAGGCATCCTTGCAACGCCAATTACAATGGCTGTGGCATCACACAAGAGAGTATGTCAGAAAGTTCACAGTGAGCAGTACATGAAGATTGCACATACAATCAGGAGCCCTTGCGAATGAGGTTTTACATGAATGGTGAATGTTTCACTTATCTGTTTTTGCTATGATTATGGACGTGAGTGAATAAATGGTTGTAAATATCAAGGTGTGTTCGGAACTGTGTTTTTGGAACTCACCATGTTCGGACCAGTGATGATGTTGCAGTTGTGGTGCGAGCTTGCAAACTAGAAGAAATGCAAATTAAAGCGAGGGGTACTATTTGCTAGGGGTGTGCAAATAGTGAGTTTTAGAATTGAATTGAATATGAACGAAATACTCTTTGAATAGTTTGTAGTTTGGAACATGCAGTAACGCAACCATTTTCAAAGCAGCCATAAAATTGTAATGTAACCATCTTCGAAACAGCCTCAAAATTACACGACATTTTATTTGAAACAAATATTCACTAGCTTTAAGAGAACCTAGCCATATACAAAAAAGCTGTACATGGTAAAAGTTTTGATGAATCGTGTAATAAGAAAACATTGTGATAACTTTTAACAGGAAAAAAAAAAAAACACTGTTGGGCAAAATGAGGCAGGCTTGTGTATGGCAGCAATTAAAGCCTTAGAAATGCTTTGTAACTGCAGGATTTCTCTCTTGGAATGTGATGCTGAGTGCCTTGGCATTATGCGACGCGAATTTCACACATTTTTGACAGTCCATCTTAATTCGTGACTGAAGGGGATACACGAGTGGCTAGAGTATTCAAGGCGTGCTTTGTCAATAGCTTTTTAGTAATGTTCATATTTAAATATTAAATAATGTTCATGTAGGTCAATCCAATGATAAATTTCGTGATAAATATAGTATATTGATGATTCTGACACTATGGCAAAACTGGAAATTTAAGCCTAAAAGCCTCCATCCTATGATAGATATGAAACAACAACAACAACCAATAATAACAATAATAATCTTAATAATAATAACATTATCTCAGCATCAGCAGAAAGAAATACAACATTGGTGAGTCTACAGAACATCGTAGTATAGCATCAGTAGCTATTATAGCATGTGTAGTGGAGCATATGCACCAACACATACATGCACCTTCGGAAGAGGACTAAAATCCCCGCGCTCTATAGCGCGAGAGCCTGTGCTGCTTTTGCCAGCCTTGCTGTACGGCTCTTTTCCGTTGCGACTTCGTTGCAACTTCTCAGGTTCAATAAAGGTCATCGCATTCGGTGGAGGTACTGGGTATCGATTACAGTACCTCTTCCGAAGGCGCATACACATTGGTGCATAAGCTTCAGTACACATGGATAGTCCCGTAAGCATTGAGTTTCCTTAAATTAACTTGAGGGGACACTGGCGCTACGATTGTTCAGCGACCATGGCAGTGATGGGTATGACATGGATTTGCCTAGTCTTCGTGCTTGTGGGCGGCGAACACACTTGTGGCCTTGTTTAATGCTGTGTTTTGCTTTTGTTTTGAAAGAAAGAACAAACCATTTTTCACTTGGTGACCGGATTCGAAGTGGTAGGCCTAAAAGATGAAGGTGTTGAAGCGTAACTGCCGAACATTTGCCGATTGTTGTTTTGTGACAAAGCAGCTTCAAGCCACACGAAGCCAGAACGAACGTAAAGTACGAAGACAAGGCAAATTCATGTCGTACCCATGATTCTCACGCTCATCGAAGCGCTATGCGTTGCAGCTCCTGTAGACACTAGCGCCAGAGTTCCCTCTAGTGTATATTAAGAAAACTCTATGCCCATAATACATGGGCTGCATGCATCTTGTTAATTTGACAAATAAAACAAGAAATGTTGCCCTTCTCTGTTCCAACGTTTTGTTTCTTTCAGATTTTTTTTTTCATTGGTGCTTGGTGCTTATTATTAGAAAAATACTCGAACGATACTTAGTATTTCTTATAAATATTCTACTCATGTGCCGCTGTAAACAAAATGCTATTTAATTTGTGTTTCAAAATTTCAAAAAATTTGCTGGTAGTACTTGGAAACGATTAAAAACATTTTCAATAGCCCAGGCGGATACTTGCATTGAGCTAGCCAATGTTTCTGGCCGAAAAAAAGGTGAGAAAAGCCTGAGGCTTGCTGTTTAGCAGGGAAATGACGAAACACTCTTACGGTGTCGTTCGGGATGAAAGTGCGCATGCCCACTTTTTCCAGGACGGGGTGACGGCCTTCGACGATGCACAGGGTGTCGGTGAACTCTGGACGAACTGTGTACGACAAACCAAATGTACTCATATACACTGCGTTGTTTCAACACTCATTCCTTTCAGCTGTTGCATTCACACTACTAAGGGTTAAAAGAAAAGAGAAACCATGAAAAAAAAAAAAAAAAACGAACAGGAAAGTGTGTCTGGAATGAATACAATGTAATAAACTCAATTAATAGTGGCACCCCAAGCTTGGCAGCCCAACATTAGGAAATCAACAGAGATGACAACTTAAGGAAAGGTAGCAAAGAACAATTTCAAGTAATTGCGAACAAAACTGACACCACGAATAATACGAAAGGCAGCTCCTATACCATAGATGACACGGTGGATGGCTTAATTATAAATGTAGCTGGTAAACTGACCTTGCCAAGCGGTGGCCTTTGAAATAGCAAGAATCAGCGGCCACGCAAACGGTAGCATGATGCAAGAAGGAATGAAAAAAAAAACCCTCCGTTAAAGAAAGGATAAGAATCTTCTTTGTGGTGGGTGCTTACAGTGAGTGACAGCCGATTGTGTGATCATAGTCAGAAATTAATCTTGCACCCACTGAGGAGCATACGAAGTTCAACGGTAGTTGCAGAAGGCCAGTCAACCTTAGCTAAACCATCAGTGCATTTGTTGCGTTCGGTGGCACTAACACATACCACCATGGATTGACAATCTTGGTTAGGAAGACAGTCTTTACCCAAGTTGGGCTATTGCCATCCAGAGTGGGGACTTATGAGTGAAAATTCATAATGTGTTCCGTGATCTCCTCAGTCTCCCAAGAGTCACATGTAGGTATGTCAGCTACTATTTCAATCAAAAACAACTATGCCTTAGCGAGTACAACCCTCTATACAGAGGCACCAGAAAGATTGGTAACATAAAGCCTTGTTGTGATAAATATAGCTCTACCACAACACAGATTTCTCTCAACACATATTTGTTCTGACAATCAATCAATGATAATGAATAACCAAAGAGCAAAGTTATCAGTATAATCAGAAAAAAAATCAAGCTGTATGAAGTAAGCACGCATCTTTTCAATTTTGGTCATTAGCATGTGTGGTACTGACAACATTTATTTGTAAAGCTATGTCTTCGGAAAATACCCTAAAAACACGTGATTAGTCTAAGACTCTTTTCTAGTTTTTATGATACAAAATTCCTGCCCCATTATAAATGCGAATCCCAAGAATTTTCAGCCCAAATTCACAGTTTTCATTTTGGCATTGTGTGGCCCTGTCATTGTCATCAAGCTTCTGTCTTGAGTAGCCTTTTTCCTACTTGCAACAGTCACCGTTGCAACCACTTCATACACTTCACAGCAGCAGCCATCATTTTATGCTAGGTCAGGACTGTGAAAGCAGCATTCAGCTGCCTTTAAAAGATAGGTGATCTAAGCTTCTGAAACTATCGGAATGCTCAAACAATCAGAAACTGTGCTGCGGGGTAGTCTGTGCTTGTTGTGTGCAGCAGCCTGAGAAGTTTACGGGGGCCGAAAAATGAAGAGTTTCCCAATGTTGCACGAGAATCGCCAGACTTCATTCATGAGCAAAGGAGCACTGCTCGGGCTCCCATTGATACTTGTAGTCAACATGCTACACTGTGGCCTTCAAGGAGGAAACTGCTGCACAATGCCCATGCAGAACCCAGCTGCATCCACTTGATGTGTGCCAAAATAAATCGTTTAAGAACCACACCAAGGACTCGTATACCGAGTGGATGAGGTTTGGAGAGCCGCAAGTGACCCCTGCCGGACGTCTGAAACGGGCCCTGCCAACGATTCCATGCACATGGATTACCGAGGCTTAGACTTGCATTTCCAAGGTGCTCGTTTGTCATGCCTTCAAGAAGTGCTCGATTTCGAATGCCCTTGATGGCACCGAAGTTGAGGTGCTGTGGGAGGATGTCTCTGACAAAGGAATTTTGGAAGAGTGTGCGTCAGACAACAAGTGTGTAAATAAATGTGTTCAGTTTCTGTTTTCCCAGGGCTATACTCAGGTAAAAATGTTTTTTTTCTTCCGTTCACTATCCCCAAAGTACACCAAGGACTATATGCATGTCCGAGCAATACACGGATTTTCGCAGCAGTTGTCGGTTGACTGGATACCGCAAGCGGTCTCAAAAACTGCACAAAACGACAAACAGATAGTGCCTCTGCCTACCTTTACCTCTTATGTGTTTTAATCTAAAGTAAGTAAGCTGTTGACCTGTGAGCCAATGAAATGTCACCTCATCTCGAAATGCACGACACAGAATTGCTCACCGTAGTCGGAGAGTGTGCAAACCTCTGCCAGTGAAAGAAGGAAGTCGATGTTGGAGACCACTTCGGCAAGCTTGTAGAGGCAGCCGATGCTTGCGACAATGTCGTGGAGGACAGAGGTCAAGACGCTGCGAAATCGGTCAGCGTGGAAAGTCATGTTCGGGTGCATATGTACAAACGAGTATGGCGCTTGACCGAAAGTTGAGCAACGTACACTGCACAACAGAAAGCATGGACAACAAGCAGACAAGGACAAGCGCGGTCCTTGTCTGCTTGTTGTCCACGTTCTTCACCGCGCAGTACTCATCGATCGTGAATCGCCAACTGGCCTAATCGTCCGCTTTGAAAGTTGAGGTTTAAGGCATTTGGCGGCTGTCGCTGCATTTTTGAATACGATGGTCACTGACAATGCAATGCTGACGCACTGTACTGTACAGTGAAAGTGAGAGCTTTGCGACATATTGTGACAGCATGTGACCTCACAGAAACTGCTCACCAAATTGTACGTCGCACAAGCCAATGCCTACGTTGTTACTTAATAGTGCATTTCATTGAACACTGTGCACATACATATACACACAGCAGCAAACCTTTAAAAGACACAAGATTTGCAAGAAAGATAATGACACACTTAGCCTACAGCAGTTCTTGTCACCTATCTTAAGTAATATTTGTCGTGCATTAATAGGTTAGCAAAATTTACATACGCGATAGAATCTATGACCTATAAATTTTTGTTGCCAGGCGTACAAGCATACAAATGCGAGATAAAAGCTGCTTTATGTGTAGAGCAGCTTATGCTTATTTCAATCAGCCAATAAATTAATAAAAAAAGTTTATTTCCAATAGAAAAGTTGGGGAGTCACCCTTAGCAAAAAGTAGCCAAAGGTAGCTTGAAGGTGCATGAAGTCCTATACTCAAGGCAGCATACAAATACATCCACAGACAAAGTAAACATAATGAACAAAGAGTTTTAGACTAGCATAAAAAAAAGCTTGTTCACACAAAGGCATGCAATAGAAATTTTAAAGAGGAACAAAGCTCAGCTAGCAATGTCCCTGTAAAACTAGGTGAGCTATATCTAACGTGTTACATCACTGTGAACTTGCAGCAAACTTCACAGCTAGGCGCCGCTTTCAGACACTTTAAACTCGATCAGCATAAAGTAAACGGCATACCTCCAGCTTAAACGAGCGATTTCGTGCATGGCTTCTCTGGCTCTATCTGCGAATATGGGAAAAAAAGAGCAAGAAAAAGAAAGAAGCACACGTTTATGGAACAATAGGAACACTTTCTAGGAGCATGTGTGCGATCAAACAAAAAGTACTTTCATTCTTACCATTCATTTTAATCTTGGCCCCCCGGAAAATGCAGCAACAGCAATACATGAAAAGAAAAAAAAGAAAGGAAAAAAAGTTGGCGGGCGCACAAGTTCGTCGGTTTTGCCCACGTCTATCATAGGATCAGCAGAATGAAGGAAGGGGTATGGATTGAAGAGCCAGTTTTTTTATTTGACACAATTCTACCAATCCAACACATAATGACACTAAAAATAAGCGTGGGGAATGCCATTTGTAGTTGTCCAATTGAAGTGCAGCAATTACGAGATAAAAAGAAAAGAAAGTGAATGAAATACTGGTGAAGTTGCTTTTCTGCCACACTGACAAAAATAAATAAATAAAAACACAATCCAAATTATGTAAACATACATTTTATTCAAGAAATTCTATGTAACTGGTAGGAACTCTAAGCTAAGAATCTCCCACACTACACGTGAGGCATGAAAAATGATGCAATTCACAAATTTTCCGGCAAATCGGGCGTAAGCAGCAGTAGCAGCGACTGCTAAGACATGTAACAACTGAATATAAATGCTTTATGGAAAGGACAGGATAAACTTTTTCGGTGGTGCATTATCACAAGACGGTTTTGGCAGATTACTGTTCGTTCCATACTTGTACTAGTCAGAAAAGTTTGACCAAGCACTGCACTCGATCGTGATCAAGCAAAAAAAAAGGGGGGTCACGTATCGATGTGCTTCACTGCAAATGTCGTTGAAAGATGATAGTCTTCTGCCGCATGAGGCTAGCTCGCCGCCTTTGCGCAAGTTTTGTTGCCTCTTTCTCCGTTCTCATGTCCTAACATGACACACCTCCTCCATGGTCTGCCGCACTGGGAGAGCGAGGAGTGATGCTTAATCCCTCTCACCCGGTAGCGGATGTCGACTGTGGCACCGCGTGCAAAGTCTCCCCAGAGGTTTCGCACGCACACTTCGGAAGTGAGAGAGACCTCTCCGGGGACGACATGGGGGTAAGCATGCTTTTCTTTTCCGTCCGTCGACTCCTATTGGGGCTCGTTTGGACTTCGCCAACAGCGCCTAGCGCCCGCGGCGAACGCTTACCTTATGTCGCCCCCCTTCTGAACGCTAGGCTGAGGAGTGAAGCGGTGTCCTAGTGCGTGGCCAGGCTGCGCCGACCTGTATCTCTCCGAAGCCAATGCGAGCGCCTTTGCCCTCGCTCGAGCAACAAGGCCTTTGTCCCGGTGTCTCCAAATCACTTTTACCACGGAGACGTGCTCCCGGCACACCTGTGATCCACGCCACGGCTCGCCCGTGGCGTGGATCTTTGCAACGAGCTCTGTACTGCGTTTTTGGTGTTGCCGCAGGCAATGAGGTGTTGCGACCTTGAGCAGTACTGTGTTCTCGGCATGGCTACAATAAACGCGTGCCCTATGACTCGCTAAGACCGGACCCACGCTAGTGGCCGTACTCCTTCGGGATACATGTCACTACAATGTGCTGCACGAGTCCTGGTCTCATTCACGTGAGACATGGCACTGCGCGAGATATGAATGCCAGCTGGCAGTGGCACTAGGAAAGACGAGCTTGTGCAGAACTCATGACCACTGCTAGGTGGCAGCACCATATCATCTGCAGAGGGCATTTTCGTGCATAGCGTTGCATTTTCATTGCAACTTGAGAAACACTAGGGTCTTTAGAATTACATATCTACGATTTTCTAGTAAAGGAACGCACCACCTAATACTTATGTATTGATGTTGCGCCTAAAATATGCGTAATATTTGCCTTTTGATCGACAATGTTCCCAAGTACGAATGCAGCCACCAGTTCAACATGGCTGGTCGTTCAGCAAATGTTAAACCTCGGTCGGGTGGCTAAATCGTGTGACAGACAGACCGAAATTTCTGCATTAAAAATGCAGCCCTCACACATCTATACGGTTACTCTAAGTAACACATTTCCCACAAGTATCGATGTGCAATGAACATATGCTTGTAACACACAAAAGATATACTAACGAAGATATTCTTGTGACAAATGCAACACTTGGGTGTAACTTAGTAACATCTGGGATTTTGTGTGCCAGAAACATAGTATGACTGTGAGGCACAACATGGCAGAGGGCTCCAAAAATTTCAACCAGTGCACTGACACCACACAGTACAAGTGAGACTCTAAAATTTCACCCCATTGGAATGTGAATGTTGCAGCTGGGATCAAACTCATGACATTGGGGTCAGTAGCAGAGCACTGTAACCACTGTATTACTGTTAATAAGTAGGGTATTACGTCCGAAAACCCCGCTATGATTATGAGAGAGGCCCTAGCGGAGGACTCTGGAAATTTTGACCACCTGGTGTTCTTCAACTGTACCGCTGTTGTACCACTACTAATACTGTTGTACAACCACTGTTATATCGAAAATATTGATGGCGCATGCACGAGTCAACCATCGATTAACTTGCACGAAGAAGAAATCGAAGGTTATCTATCACGTAGACCTCCATGTGTGCCGGATTGATAGGTTCTCCTATTACACGGACATATGCATACAAGTTTTTGTGTTTTTTTTTTCTGCCGCTGTGCACCTCTTTAGTTGTTAGTCGGTGTTTGCGGTATCTTAACTTTTTCCTCGTGCCTGTGTTTGCACGCCACCTGCCTTGTAGAATATACCACTGAGGCAGACCTCAGATATAGTATAGCCCCCGTCAAGGAGTGAAGTAACGATACCCTATACACATCGTATTAAACGACCACTGCACCAAGTGTGTTTTCAAATACCCACCAGGCTGTCGGTGGTGAACGAGATGGTCGTCTTGGTGACAGAAACCTTGATGAACTTGTCGGGAAGGTCGGGAATGCAGCCCGTGTAGTTCATCTGGATGTAGAAGCCCCGAAGCTGGGAGAAGGCCACCTTGAGCGGCAGTGCACACTCCAGCGCCAAGTCCTTCTCGACCATCTCTGAGTTGAAGAGGCCACAAATATGAGGCGGTGCTGAAAAGTCCCTGGCTTTGCAGAAGTAGTATACAGTCACAGGTTTGCAATTAAACAATTATTCAACACAATCTGTCCTCAAGTAAATGCCCTGTTGTTTCATCTTTTTAAGAACATTAAAAAACAGCATGCGTTAGGTCGCCAAATCTGCCTTTAGTAATATGTTGGATATTATAGATGTCATGATGCCCCTTCAAATTTTTCTTCATGTTAGAAGACAGGTGGTAGTTTGAAAGGGCCAGGTGACCGGGTGAAGAAAGCAAAAGCGATGGCGGGCTAATTGGAGACCCAGGGTCTTCCCTTTGGCAGCCACAACTTCGAACGTGTGTGAATGCTCATTGTTCACTGTTACAATATTTCGTTACCTACTTTGCTTAAAGCTTGCGCATCTGCAGGATATTGGTGCGAATAGAACTGACATTTCCAGCAGGTTCCTAAGAACTGGGCTGTCTTTCTGGCAAATATTTGCATAGCATTAGGAATCAGCTTGTGGACAGCATAACTTGTTGTTGGGTCACTCGAAATTGTTGGGCAACCACTGTGCGGTTCATATTCGATGGTAAAATATGATGTATTGAAAGGAGAGGGCCAGGACACTTCACTCCTAGTGCAACTGACATATCAGTTTGAATGTCTTTTATAGACTCTACCCTGAAGCAAAAACTTCATGATGCTTGACCGTTTTCCCTAAAAGCTTATACCTCTGCCGTCTAACATTCCATCTGAAATTGACACTAGTTATGAGATTTGGATATGTCTCTTACTTGCACAAATAATTAAAGGGGTACTGACACAAAATTTCACGGGTGAGATAGCCTGTGGGATCAATTTTTGAGAACATGCATATATCATCTGCAAAATATAAACAACGAATAAGGCTTGGAAGATATTCTATATGAATTTTGAAGTTTGTATGCGCAATCCAGTGGTACACACTACACCTCGAAGCATTGGCACAACTTAGAGTGACTTGACGGTTACCTTCTTACTTCCCTCAAGCCACCATGCTGCCACCGGTACAAAAAGCTATGACGACATCATGGTCACCATTTCTCTTTTGCTGTGCTTGCACCAGCAGATTGCTTTTCACCAGCAGACTACTTTACATCAGCAGACTACTTTGCGGAGGCTGCTCGCGAGTCCGTGGTGTACCCGTCGAAAGTTTTGTTTTTGGCGACACTGCTTTCCTGTTTCCTGTTCAAGAAGACTTGTGGACCATGCGGAAGTGCTTCAAACTTGTGTGTGCTGACGTAGCTGAGAGTTGCACCCGCTAGGTGGTGAAGGTTGCACTTGGTGGCTTGTCGTTTTTTGAGCTCTTTCAAACTGAAACTGACCGGTAATGCCGATCCAGTAATTAATAATCTGTCGCAGAATGCAGCAAACGATGTGCCGCGTTATGATCGACTGACAGGCCGCCAGAAACACATTGCAGCAAAAACGTGTAACATTATTTTGTTATTTATTTATTAGAATACCCTCAGGGCCCGTAGGGCATTACAGAGGGGGTGGGTACAACATTTATAACACACAAGAAAAAAAAAAAGACAAAATAAAGAAACGAGTGTCAGATGCGCAAATCAGGAAGGCAACATAAGTCAACTAAAAATGTATAAGAATTCAAGCACATACAAGACAAAGATAGATAATGGAAACTGCGTATATTTACAAGCATTGCTGAGAAATTGCAGTCTTGAATAACAAAGGGTCTGTTATTGTTACAACGGAAGAGGGAAGGTGGTTCCAATCGGCAGCTGTTTTCGGTAAGAAGGCTGCTGAAAAGAATTTGGTGCGGCAAAACGAAATGGCAACCTTATGCTGATGATCAATGCGCGATGAGTGGTATGACGGTTGTGAAATGAGGTCTCGCTTCATTGATGGATTGTGAAAAAATATCTTATGAAAAAAATGCAGTCGCGCCAGTTTCCTCCGGACAGTTAAATTGGGTAGGTCAAGGTTAGATTTCATTTCTGATATGCTAGCAGTACGGGAATAATTAGAACAAATGAACCGAACAGAGCGGTTCTGAACAGATTCTAACGTGTTAATTAAATTTTGCTGCACGGGATCCCATATAGCGGACGCGTACTCAAGCTTTGGGCGAATTAGTGATCGGTATAATAGAATTTTGAGGGACAGCGGAGCGCGAGAAAAGTTGCGGCGTAAGTATCCTAGCGTTCGGTTAGCGTTATTACAGATGTAGGTAACATGCGTGTGCCAAGATAGATTGTTGGTAATGTAAACGCCGAGGTACTTATATGAAGAGACATGCTGGAGGGGAACGGCGTTAATTCTGTAGGTACAGGGGGGAGAAATAGATCGCCGGGTTATTGACATGCATTTATATTTGTTAGAGTTGAGAGTCATAAGCCATTTATTGCACCAGGTTGAGACAGTGTCAAGGTCTGACCGTAGAAATTGGTTATCATATTCATTGTTTATTTCGCAGTAAATTACACAATCATCTGCAAATAACCTTATAGCGGAGTTAATGCTGTCTGGGAGATCATTAATATATATAAGAAAAAGTAAAGGGCCTAATACGGAACCTTGGGGTACGCCGGATGTTACTTTAGAAAGAGGTGAGTTATAGCCATTAGTTGTTACAAACTGAGTGCGATTAGTCAGAAAGCATTCAATCCATTTAAGAATGTTCGGGTCAATGTTTAAGGCACTAATTTTCAGGAGGAGTAATTGGTGAGGTACTTTATCGAAAGCTTTTTGAAAGTCAAGAAAAATGCAATGCACAAGTGAGCCGCGATCTAAAGCCGATGCTATGTCATTAGTAAAATAAAGAAGTTGGGTTTCACATGAGTAACTTTTTCGGAATCCGCGCTGGTAGGGAGTAAAAAAAGAATTATCCATTCAACTATGTCAGACTGTCCCTCTTTATTGCCCAAGACATTTTTTGCATAAACATTTTGTGAAAGGGAGTTAAAACTATTTCTCAGCAGCCCTCACGGCTGTTAGTGGCAGTTGTGACTATACGTAGTAGCCAATGGTATTATGGCTATGAACTACTGTGTTCATCAAATACTGTATCTTGCTCCTGACAAAGTGTCTGTCCGAAATTCCTACTTTATGATGTAGGGCAAATGTGAACAAGAAGTTGAAATGGTCGAAACGAATAAATGTGGCAAAAATTATGAAGGTCCCATTTACAATAAAAACGTGAATGAAGCACACACCCACCGTGAATGTCATCTTGCACTTCTGCGTACGTTCTTCGGGCAATGTCCAGAAGGCCGTTGACTTCAGGCTGAAGTAAAAAGCAGCAGTGATGTGGCAGCTGACGTGAAATTCGCCTCAATGTTGCTAAACAAAAAAATATGATTTCTTTCGTACAAAATAAACTAACCACTTCACGGTGACAATAGTACCATTTCCAACACGGTAAGATGATTGACAAACAGAAGAATTAAAAAAAGAAAATACAGATGCTGACGCCTGTTGTAAGTACTACCTTTTTCAACTTGGCATGCTGCGATAGATTTTGACGACATCTGTGCGGGCCTACACAATTATTTATCGATAGTAAAAATGAACTGCCCTGTGGCCTAAGGCTGCCACTTACTAAGGCATGTTTCAGAAAGTCCTATTAAGCCAATCTGGCTTAAATATAAAAAAAAGTTAGACCAATATCCCTAACGCCACACTTATCAGAAGTGGAAACTATGGTACAATAGCATGTGACTTGAACATCTTGCATAGATGAGAAAATTTTATTTTTAATGTTTTGCAACATTTTCTGCATTACTTTTTGTTGCGCTAGGTGCCATTGAAATTGGTAGTCAGTCCCTTAAAAGTGCAATACATTGAAGAACCTACACCAATCAGTCCTGTTCAGGGGTTTACAACATAGTTACACCAACCTTTATGCTGAAGCAGAGCTGCAAGACACGGTTCCACACTCCTTTCTGGTAAACAACGTCTTCCCTTACCACTGTGCATATGCCCTTGTGCATTTCACTGTACCGGGAATCTGTAATATGCTGCATTACGCAAAAAAAAAAAAAAAGGCAAAAGCCGAGGCATGAGCAGTACAATGATTTTCTTCCGTAGAAAAATAACCATTGCATTTCATAAAAAAGTAGTGTATGTTTTATGGTTACACTGTGGGCACCTTGCGATGATTACGTTGAAAGATTGGTGTTGGACGCCTGCGGATGGTGCCTGTGATAGGCGTGCCTATACATCAGCTTCTCGATCTCAGGAAAGAGACAGTGTGCGCTCTATCTTATCTACAATTTCCTTACTTGAGCTTGTGTAGCATGCCTAGAGTCCCTGGGGTTACCCATACATAAATACTGAAGCCCATAGCAGATTTAGCCTAACTGAAATTCTATTTTAGTTTATGGTTTGGAGCTTGGTATGACAAAATAAATGAAAGAAAAAAGCTAGACGTTAGTGGTGCAAGGACTAAGCAAACAGTGTAGCTGGTGCCCTTCCCCTTTTCTATTCTCTCCTCTTCAACCTCACTTTATTTTCCTGCTCCCTTGCTATACTGTTGTGTATGTGATGCTATATGCTTTCTTTCCCCTTCTGTTTCTCTCACTCTTGATTTATTTTTTTTCATCCTCTCTCTTCAGAGTTTCTTTCGCTACCTTTGCTTTTATTCTTTCTCTCATTCTTATCTTTTTTCCCTTTCTCTCGGCCATATCAACTCAGCGTTACTTGTCTTCTCACCGACGCGTACGACCCCAGTAAGGAGTCCTCGCACTTGTTGAGCACAATGCGCAGTGGCTCGACGTGCTCGAGTATGTGCTTGAGGCAGACGCAGTTGTGCACGGCTGCCTCCATGGTGCGCAGGGTCTCAACGCGCGGCACCTGCACCAGCGCCGCCAGGAGGGCCTCCATGTCTGCAAACTTGGCCAGTAGGAACTGCACAGGAGGACAGCCGACACTGACCTTCGAGGCAGAAGCACTGTGACAGAGTTCGAATGTCTGATCGATGGATCGGTCGATCAGTAGGTTGGCTGCTTGACTGATCGAATGTCTGATAAATGAATTTATTAGCCAAATTATCTTTCTGAAGACTAAATGAGAAACTAACTGTCTTAATGACTGATTGACTATCTGAAAAATGACTCTCAACTTAAAGAAGATGAGCAACCAAACAACTTATTGACTAGTTGATAGCTGAAGTGAATTGAACACTGCTAATAAAAAAAATCCACGCATCTCCACGAAGTGAATCATGACGAGTGAGCAAGGCACTGGGGATCATTCGGTGTTATTGTAAATCACCCACTCGAGCATGTAGATGAGCCTTCACCTCCTTTAGACAACGTTTATGGCGTTAATCAAGCAGTCGCTTGCTGTACCTTCAACTCTAGGATAGCTTGTTGTTGGCGTTGTTGCTTTGCCGCTTTTACGGTGTTGTGGCCTTCTATTTTGTTCTGGTGAAGAGCCTCCTACTTTGTTTTTGTCAACCTTTTGTTCTGTCATATGCTTTGAATAACAGGTGATCAAATGCCTATGTTTTTATCCTGTTGAGGCCTTTTATTTTGTTTGTTCTTGTTAACAGCTTTTTGTTAACCTTTTTGTTGTTCACAGATGTTACGGTTTGTTTACATGCACCTGTCTGCTGTAGGCACCGATCGGTAGTTTATGGATGGAGAGACATTGCGGGATCTCAAAGGAGCACTGACATCTAATTTCAAGATCGAGATGTGCCCACCGTTCGATCGCTTGCTATGAATAGGTCTTATTGGCCAAATTTGAATGGCATCCATCGCGTGAAAGTTGCAGTAAAAGCTCGTTAAATCGAACTCAATTATATCAAAATCCTGCTTAATTCAAAGTATTTCTGCAAGCCCGTATTTCGCAATGTTAGTTGGAGCGGATAATCTGACGCGGCGGTCAGCACAAGTCTGGTTAATTCGAAAACATTGGGTGAAGTGTGCCCATTCCTGATCCCGATTTCGCCGCAAATCCACAAAAACGACGGACGTCAAGAGCCACTAGGCAATAAACTTTAGCGATACTAGAATAAAATAAAATTATATAAAACAAATAACAGTCTCGTAATCAGCTAAACTATGCACCTGTGGAAAAGATGTGCTTCACTGCAATACACCAGTGACCTGCGGGCAGCAAGTCGCATGCTTCTCGCAACGTCAGCGCCTGACGATTTATCCATTCTTTCTGGGAATTTAAAGAAATTAATAAAGGAAAGTCTGGAGAAATCCGCAATGTATGCAAACCTCCGAGTGCTGGTTGCTCCAGCGATTCGTGCATTTGCACAGCTGGCGGAGTTCTTGCCTGCGACGCCTACTTTGAAAACTCGGGTCGAAAGCTTCAATGGTGATGTTTTCCAGCCAGAACCCACCGCGAATTTCGTCACAGTATCCATTATTAAATTATTCATTTTACAAGAAAAAATGGGCGAATGGTCGCATCATGACGTGCTGACGCAGCGAGGAGCAGGCAACATGCTGCCCGCTTGTCACTACTGTGTTGCAGTGAAGATGTGTTGTTTTTCGCAAACGCAAACTTCAGTTGGTCACGTTTTTTCTTTTTTTTTTTTTTCGGTGACAGCAGTTAGGCGGAGAATTACACCTTGTTTGCGGTGAATTTGTGACCAGGTATTGCTGGAAAACATGACCCTTAGAGCCACAAACTAGCCGGCACCGCAAATGACTACCCCTGATTAATTTGAATAATTTCAAGTTCCTTGCAATCCACATTTTGTATGTTCTGTTAATTCAAAAACCTGCTTAATTTAAAGATTTTTCCCGGTCCGAGTGACTTCAAATGAATGAGGTTTTACTGTATTTCAATTCGATGTCCAACAACGCAGAAAAGCTAAGGAAAAAAAACTTAAAATAGACTGCCCTGCAACATCGACACTAGTGCTACGTGTTCGGTGTGATACATTCCACAAATACCATCCTGAGTGACGATACGCTAATAACAATGACGTCGACAATCTGAGTGTGTTTGTAGCCGACTCCCGGCCATGCTCTCCCTAACGGTTCTACTTGCTGTGTTGAAGCGTGCGTGCGATTCATCGTGTCACATCGACTGATTTGACATGTGCTCCACAGCGTGACTACGATCATTCAGTGACATTACGTGCCAGAGTGTCGGAGAACCGCTGCGCAGTGAGAACCTGCACGTCGAAGCGTGGAAAAAACGGAAAGTGCGTGGAGTTTCATGCTTTTCCAAGCCACGAAACTCAACGCAGTCAGTGGGTCGACTTCGTATGCGCCGATGAACAGAGGGACTTGACGCCTAAGAAGAACAGCCGCATTTGCTCGCTTAACTTTGCGCTGAGCTGCTGCAGGGTAAATCCTGTGTTGGCGAACGAGTTGGGTTTCACTGGCAGTACGAGGCCCCTTCTCGAGGCCGGAGCTAAAGGCGGAGGGTAAGAACGAGTTGGCACTATTTAACCTAGCCGGCAGAAAACTCATGGAGGGGCTTTAGTCTACTTCATCAGAGACACAGCTAGACTGACTGCACGTGCGCTCCTAGCAGATAAAATGCCAAAGTGCGTGACGTCACCATTTTTTGTGTGAGCAGCATTGACTGTGCAGCGTACTTGACGTGGCCATGAGGTAGCGCTGAGAGCACTACAATTTGGCAGGCCACAGGGTGATCCCAAGTATCATGTCCAGCATGCACAAAAAAACACAAACCTGAAAACTGTAGAAACACTCTTCGCTGTCAAGGATCTGCTGCACGGCATTCTGACGCAGCACGATGGTCTCTAGGTCGCACGGAGGCTGAAGCATGTTCACACGCAGAAGCCGTGAGCCGCCGGGCGTCTTGGCGTGGTTCAGGACGCCAAAAAGCGACACCGAGCTCCTGGGATCCGCAGTGTTGGTCAGCAGCTCCAGGTCGTGCATCGTGGTCGAGTCTGCGTCAAGTTTTCGGAAAAAAAGGAGATGATAGCAAAAACGTTATGAGTCAGACAATTGCACTTTCGTTAATGAAGGATGCGATATCTGGACCTAGCGAGGAAATGGTCAGTATACTATCACAATGTGAAATAGGCAAAATTGGTACTATGCGTTTTTGTGTTGTATACTTTTCAATTCCATCCGTGCTTATCATGCTATTATTAAACAAACACTAGCGAAAAAAAAGGGTGTCACTTTTATCAGTAAACTACAGTTTATGGTAGCTACAACCCTCAACTTTAATCTAACACATGATAAGCCAGAAAAAATGCAAGGATGCCGGTGCCAGCATCGCCTTGAAAGTCGTGCACTGGTTTAACCAAATGTTTCAGATTGTGATGGTGTCTGCCAGAGCTTATATGACTATTCATTGGTGAAAATTGACTACATTGTATTCGAAGAAGTCACAGAGTTAACAAAACAATTTTCAGGATCCATTATTCAGTCAATGCAGCCGAAATACAATAAAAAAATTGAAATACATGACATGGTACTGCTGTTATAGTTTTGCTGCAAAATCTAGAAATGGCACTCTTGCTTTTATTTTCTCTTACAATAATAAATCTACAGTTGCAAAATTAATGGTATCAGCACTATCAAATGATTTATTGATGTAACTTGATTTGATCTACCATTTTTGTGCACCTTTAATAGTGAAATACAGGCAGTATAAGATAACAGCGGTATAGTGGCATGCTTGTTTTTCACTGTTTTGTCTTTTTGCAAAGTCATACCTGTAGCTGCCATACTTGGCTGAATATATCATATGTACAGTTGGTAGTACTAGTTTAAATAGTTTCTGCACAGTTTACGCAAAGTGCATCACAAAACATACACAAGTAATATCCTTAACTGCAGATATGATACACTCCTTTTATCACTTGCTGGTCTACATTTGCATAGCGAAGATGCTTCTATGCTATCATTGCAATCTTTGACATTACTGCACTTCAATTTAATTGCTATCATTTCAAAAAATATTTGCCAAAATGCACTTTCTACAAGTTTTGATGCTGACAACTTACCTATACTATATATGTAACTCAAACCTTGATGTAAACAACCCGAATATAAAGAAATATTGGTTATAACGAAATAAATGAAAAATAGTCTAGATATAGTGTTAGAAATAAACCTTTACAACAAATTTTGCATACAACAAACTTATTTTCCTGTAAGATGCAACTTTATTATGAGGTTTGAGTGTACTAATTTTATCTGCCCAATCAAGATTGTTAACTATAATCTTTAGAGGTTTTTGCCTATTTAAGCTTGACAAATAGACCTAATATACATACTTAAGCTTGACAAATACACCTAATATACATATTATGATGTCTTGGTTGCGACAGCGTCTATTCAAGGGAAGACCTCGCAAAATGAAAGGGCAGAACCTGCACACAGACGATGACGAAGATGATGACACAGAGTGGCCATGAGGACAAAGAGACAAGCGAATGATGTTGATTATGATTATGCAGGGGTGAGAACGATGTAAATAACAAATTCCCACACTAATTCCCCCCACTTGGAAGTGGACACCCTGGCCACCGTAAGTCAAAGTGATGAGGAACGTCGCGTGAAATGTATCATCTGAGAAACGTGGACAATCTCGGTGCTGCAATAACGGCCGTCTGGCGGGGCAACAAGTGGTATCACACGATAATCAACCAGCGAAGTCTGTTCTAAAACTATGTATGGCCTGATGAAGTGCGACTGAAATTTGTCACAGAGACCAGGAGTGCGAATAAATGTCAAAAGCAGCAGCTCGTCTCCAGGTCGGAAGGACACAACGTGATGGGATGTGCCATTGATGATCTTCCGCTCATGCTGTCTCGCTTCAGTCTTGATGCGAGCCTGATGGCAAGACTAAGCCATGCGGGAAATGTATTCTTCGCTAAACGACTGACATGAATTGCCGGTGCTGTTAAAGAAAGAGACGTCGAGAAAGGTAGTAGAGGTACGTCCGCACACGAGGTAAAACGGTGAGTAGCCAGTTGTTCGCTGAACGGCGGTGTTGTAGGCGAAGGTCAGGAATGGTAGAAGAGTATCCCAGTTTTTGTGGTTGTATTGGACGTAAACAGCTATCATGTCAGCAAGGGTTCGATAAAATCTTTCTGTGAGACTATTTGTCTGCGGGTGGTAGCTTTAAGCTGTCTTGTGAGTAGTTCCAGAAGCGCGCAGTACTTCATTTATTAACCGTGAACTTACTTACAGCGCAACACCAGAAAAAAATACAGGACAGGGAAGGAGCAAAAGAGAAAGAAAAGACGACGCTAGTTCACAATGGATCCTAACCAACTGGCCCAAGTTACCGTCTTACTTCATTTATTATTTGTGACAGGAACACTTTGCCACGATCACTAAGCAGTACACGAGGAGGCCCATGGCACAAGATTAAGGCGTGAAGAAAAAAGTCAGCAACTTCCGCAGCTGAGCCTGTAATGACAGAGGACGTCTCAGCGTAGAGTGTCAGGTGGTCCACGGTGGTCACTATCCATCGTTTGCTGGCAGATGTGACAGGGAGAGGCCCGTAAAGGTCGACAACTACAACTTCGAATGGCATTAAAGGGCACGAAATCGGCTTTAGAGGTCCAGCAAGTGCAGACGTTGGGAGTTTACGACGATAGCATGGGAAGCAGCAGGAACCGACATACCACGCTACGCTAGAAAAAAGGCCAGGCCAGTAATAGCGAAACCCAATGCGGTCAAAAGTTTTTTGAAAACCAAGGTGGCCAGCAGTCAAGCCATCGTGGAAGGCTTCGAGCACCTGAATTTGAAAAGAGCGTGGCAGCACAAGAACCTAGCGCTGACCGTCAGGATGGTAAATGTGGCGGTAGAGAACCCCATTGTCCAGCTTAAAGTGCCGGAGTTGACGACAAAGTCGCGCATTAGGTGGATGAGAAGCTCCCGAAAGGTGGTCCATAATGCGTCTGCGGTATGAATTGGACTGCTGGCGGGAGATAAATATTGGCTCGTCGTTATAAAAGGGTTGGCCTATTGATGCGAGCGTATGAACTGCGACAGAGTTCTCAGCAATGCTGATATGGGGAGAAGGAAGTGGGCAATGAGACAAAACGTCGGCGTCTTGATGTTTTCTATCAGACTTGTAAGTTATGTCAAAGTCGAACTCCTGCAAGTTTAGTATCCACCGACCGAAGCGTCCAGGCAAGTTTTTCAGTGTAGAAAGCCAGCATAAGGCGTGGTGATCCGTAACGATTGTGAAGTGACGGCCGTGGGGATAGGGACGGAACTTCTGCACTGACCAAACCACAACCAAACACTCTTGCTCAGTTATCGTGTAGTTCTTTTTGGCAGCGGTGAGTACGCGACTGGCATACACAACAACTTTCTCTAGGGAAGACTTGAGATGTGGCAGAAGGACGGCTCCTATATGAAGGCCGCTAGCATCGGTATGGAGGATAGATGGTGCGGCTTCGTCAAAGTGTCAGAGCACAGGTTCAGACGTGAGGGCACCCTTTAACAGGTCGAATGCTGTTTGACATTCTTGAGACCACAGAAAGGGGACATTGGAAGCAAGTAGCTGGTGTAATAGAGTAGCTATGAAGGCGAAGTTCTTGATAAACCGGCGAAAATAGGAGGCGAGGCCAAAAAAACTGCAAAGCTCCTTCGGTCTTCAGGACGCGGAAAGTGAACTGCAAAAATCTTGCCGAATTCCATTTTTGCTAACAACGTGTCCCAAGACTTTGATAGATTTGCAAGCGAAAGAGCATTTTTTAGTGTTTATTTGGAGACCGGTGCAGGCAAGGCACATCAGAACTTGATCCAATCATTCTGGGTGATCAGGAAATGTTGACGAAAAGATGACAATGCCATCGAGGAAGCAAAGGCAACTTTTCCATTTCAGGCTGCGCAGCACGGTGCCTATCATACGCTCAAAAGTCGCGGGCGCATTGCAGAGCCCGAAAGGCATCACGTTAAATTCGTATAGCCCATTGGGGGCTGCGAACGCTGTTTTCTCCTTATCGTCTTCATGCATGGGAATCTGCCAGTACCCAGAACGCAAGTCGATGCTTGAAAAGAATTCTGCACCTTGTAGGAAATCAAGGGCCTCGTCAATGCGTGGCATAGTGTACACGTCCTTGCATGTGATCTTATCGAGTGCCCGGTAGTCCACGCAAAAACGCACAGAGCCATCCTTTTTGTGGATCAAAACAATAGGAGACAACCAAGGGCTAGATGATGGACGGATGACTTCCCGTTTAAGCATGTCAGCAATGTTTTATTCTATAATCTTTCTTTCAGCTAGAGACACGTGGTAGAGTCGGCGGTGTACGATAAATGTCCCAACTGTTTGAATTCGATGTGCTGTTGTAGTAGTGCGGCCCAGCATGGACGAGCAAATATTGAAAGAATTGGCGTGTTTCTGTAACAATGCAAGCAGTAGCTGCGTCTGTGAAGTTGTCAAGTTGCTATTGATAGCGGTGTTTAAGGCGGAGGAAGAAACATGCTCACCGAGGAAACGGTCTTTGGATGCGATGGCCTGAAGTGGCATGAGAAATACAGGCTCGTAGTCAGCAACATGGGCCACTGTAGTGCTCTGTGGCAGTAGGATCTTCTCCGGTGTAGAGTTTATGGCGGTGACGAGTGCAGAGCCATTGAAAAAGCGAACGACACCAGATGGAAGAACTATGCCTTTACAAACGCAAAGTGGTGACGGGGAGACCAATCCATCGCCGTAATAGATGTTGTTGGACGTAATGCTGACAATTTGCTCTTGTAGTGGCGACAGTTCGATGTCTTTCGCAGCGACCAGACGAAGTGGCTTTTGAATGTCGTCGTCAAGCATGTAGTCGGTGTCCATAAGGTGAACGACGTGTTGTCCACAACAAATAGCCGCGGAAGCGGATGACAGGAAATCCCACCGTAAAATTAGTTGGTGAGAGCAGTGGAGCAGCACAGCAAACTGGACATGATGGCGGATGCCGTTGATAAAAGCGCGGGCAGTACAAAATGCGGAAGGGCGAATAATGTTCCCCTGGGGAGCAATTAACGTGGGACCATCGGAAGACATCATCACTTTCTTTAGATGTTCTCACAAATCAGCACGTATAACAGACAATGTCACAGCCGTGTCCGCCAAAGCATCGACACGCACTCCTTACACTTCCACAGAAACCATGTTACACGGACCTGATGGAGGAATTTCAGTTCTAATTTCGAATGCAGTTTTTTTTCCACAAACTGAATCATTGAGTTTTCCGTATGATTATAAGAGGAGAATGAGGCGGGCCGAAGTGGAGAAGTAGAAGGGCGGAAGGGCAAAGGGGAGTGGTGTCTCAGGTTTTAGCTGGTCCGCAGTGCATTCAATGCTGGAGGAGATGGAGACCGGTGCAGAGAAGACGAATAACGCCGACCTTGATAAGAGGCCCCAGTGGACAAATCTCATTCGCGCATGTTGTTACGATGCTCATCTTGCTGGCGCTTTTGGCAGAAACGAGTTATGTGGCCGCGATAGCCGCAATAATAGCAGACAGGGCGAGACGAGCGCCAGGGTGGGGAGTAGAAGGCAATCGGGACACTTGGAGATAGCGCGGTCAGGTGAGCCCACTGGGGAGAGCGGCAGCAACCGACGTGTAGGATGATAGCGGCAATGTCTTGTGTACATCGCTGGGAGGCGCGGCAGCAACTTGAGCGTAGGGGGATATGGGGCGAGAAGCATGTGGCTGTACTGGCGCAGGGCTGGTCAGGGATGTAAGTTCCTCACTGATGATGTCACGCAAGGGCACCCCCAAAGACTGTGTAGGACACGGTTAAGGATGCGTGAAGCCCATAGACCGCAATTCTTCGCGGATAATGTCCCGGATGAGATCACGCAGATGGCCATGAGACGTAAAGTAGTGGTCGCCAATGTCCAGTTGGAGACGAACAGAGTCTAGCACATCAAAGCGCTGGCATATCATGACAACATCAGTGATGGTAGCTGGGTTGTGCACAGGAGGGCATTAAAAGCAACAGGTCCAATGCCTTTCAAAATGTGGTGTACTTTGTCCGATTCCAGCATGGATGAATTGACACGCCGGCACAGTGCGAGGACATTCTCGATGTAGGAAGTGTATGATTTGCCGGGATGTTGTCGGCGAGTATTGAGGGTCCTCTTCGCAACGGCGAATCGAATGGCAGGTGTCCCGAAAAGGTGTCGCAGCTGCTGCTGGAAGGTCGCCCAGTCGAGTAAGTCACTGACGTGGTTAAAATACCATGTCTTCGCGACTCTGGTCAGATAAAAAGGAACGTAACGCAGTTTGGCGGCCTCGTCCCACTGATTGATGACACTTGCTCGGTCATATATAGTCATCAAGCCAGTCTTCTATGTCTTCTCCACGAAGACCGGTTATAGAAACAGGAGGGGCGGCTTGCGGCGGTGCGTGGTTGATGACATCAGCGCTGGCAGGCTCGATCTGCAACATGCTGCTGGACAGTGGGTGCAAGCGGCGGCCTGAACGAAGCTCCAGGTGGTAGAGTGGGCTGCAGGAGGAGAGAGGACTGAAAATCCACCTCCACCACGTATGACGTCTCAGTTGCGACAGCGTTTATTCGAGGGAAGATCTCGCAATACGAACGGGCAGAGCCTGCACACAGACGATGATGATTACACAGAGTGGCCATGAGGACAAAGAGAGATGCGAATGATGGTGATTATGATTATGCAGGGATGAGAACAATGTAAATAACAAACACCCACAATAAAACTGTATACATGTATATTACACATCTACGACAACTATCAGATACAAAACAAAGGTACCTGTCCCTTAGATATGACTTCATCATGTGATGAGCTTATCCACTATGCACTAAAAGAAGGAAAACCCGCCGTGGATCTACCGATACGAGCAACTCCCTCGCCGGTGCTAAAGATGACCTTGATGGAGTGACCCGTGCAAGTGACATTTTGCATCACCTCCACGTAGTGGACCAGCGCAGCTGTGGCAGACAGGGCATAGTACCTGCGTGATTTCGTCAATTCGTGCCAGCCATTAAAAAATGTGCAAGTACATAACTCTCAGAACTCACTGAGAGTGACAGTACTCTACCCCAATCAATCACAGAGAAAAGTTAGGGAGGTAACAATAGCTACAAGTCAGTTTTCAGGAATAGGTTCTAAGCTACAGGTGTTTTTGTAAAGCCCACACTTTGTTTCCACTATATCTCGGTTGCGTGTTGATAGTGGAATCTCTACTCCTCTTGGCCAAAACAAAACGAGCAGAATGGCAAATACAGATGTCACACTTTGCCTTTCATTAATTTTCAAACCATGTTTAAGTAACAGAAAAGTGTTATGGTTGCCCAGTTTGCAACCACAGTAGCTAAGTGCAACGCTAAGTGTGAATGCCAAAGAAAAGAAAAACACACACACCCACACAAAACACACCCAGCCCACTAATATTTATACGATTTGGTCTACATGTGCACTTCCAGCTCATTTTGGCATTAGGGAGAAGGTGCGACGTAATGTTCACGCATATCAAAATGTAACCTTGCATGAAATCATACCTGGAAGCTCATGAAGGCTGGTCATACAAAAGTTGGCATTTGATTCAGAAAAATAGGTATGCTTCCGATGCCAACTAAGCCATAGTTGTTGCCACTGCCTACTACTTTTCTCCTGAAGTTGTGGTTCCCATGACTGCTTGGCAGTTGAAAGCAATGAAACAGCTGAGGAAGCACAACCGGCACAGTTTGTGTATGCTAACTGGTTTACGAGTTCCAGCCTTGACATTTATTTTAAAGAATGTCTTCTTCTAGTCCTAAATAACATTAACAGCATGACAAAAAAGAATCATTACAGTCAATTGTATGAAAACAACTAGAAGAGTGAAAATACAGCACAGTTCTCACGTGCCAACTCACTTATTGACGACTTCGGTCTCCACCGAGCTGTACTCGGGAACACAAAGCTGCCGGACGTACTGGATGCCCAGGTTCTCGTTAAAGAGCTTGCGTGGTAGTCTGGTGATGGTAGTGGATGGCATGAACTGCTTCAGATAGCTTACGAGCTGGGGCATTGAGTTGGCCTCAAATAGTGTCTTGGGAAGGAGAATCTGGAGGTGAGAGAGCGTGAGATTGCAACGCGCAAGAATGTGAACAAGAATGTCTCGGAAGAGTGGAAGGAAATTTGGAAGGAAGGAAGATTGAAGTTGACTGAAGATAACACTAGATTTCTCACTAATGATGTCCTGTTTCGCTTGCATTATGCGACTTATGGATCATCTCTCACTAGGGTTATGCAACTTCAGGACTGCCACATGACTTCTGGTGACACACATTTAGACTGTATTAGCACAGCTGGGTCAACACTTCACTTTTAGGAATATCGTGAACAACCTCATACCGCACCAAACAAAGGGTGTGAAATAAGACACTGAAGATTCTGTCCAAGAAGAAAAAAAACAATAAAAAATTGTCGGACTTCAGTGATTTTACTGTGTTTGTCCTCATATGTGACAACAGTTACATGATTTCAGTACAAACAATGCCAACACAAGCAAGCTATATAATGTATAATTGTTGCAGGAAAATACCTGTGGCATATTATCATAAGTGTGTTGTGTGACTGCACACTCTAAATCCAAAACAGAATGCAAGAGTTCAGGAGAAGGTGGAAGCTTGAAGAAATGAGAACATGAGCATATACAAGGTGTTGCTGGACCAGATGCTTCGACGAGTCCACTTGTCGAAATGCCAGCTCCAGCGACACCTTGTGTTCTCAAATTCTCATCTACACACTCTAAAGACATTCTACGCCCCAAAGCTCATAAAATGCTTTTACAAAGAATGGTAAGTCAAACCCGTAACATTCAATTAATCATATTATGGTTAGTGAGACACTGTAGCAGGCTTTCAGAGCACGCATCATTAAGAACAAACTGACATGGCCAAATGACCATTTCATTTAGTGCAATACCTCGTGGGGATCGAGCACTTTAAGCTTTACGAGGGTGTTGTTGTACATCTTGTTGTCTGGGAACTGTGCCAAGACCAACTCTGGATTCCTGATGTCGAACGATGCCATGCCGATCTCGCCTCTGGCCTGTCCGCGTCCCTCGACAAGCGCTGAAAATGTTGCAGAACCACACATTTGAGCGAGATGATTGTTAATATTCATAATAGTAAACAAAAAAAAAAAACGCCAGGTCTGTGCAATGCCTACAACACAGTCACAGCGATAGCTGAATGAGTGGCCTTTCGAGACACCATTGTAAACTTTCTTGAATTGACTACTGCAAGTACAGATGCAGAGTACCTACTACGCCATGAATTATAATTTTGTAATGTAGTGAAGTAAACTCCATGCCACTATTCATTACTTGGTAGAGAAGCTGGGTACCTGCTACACATTTGCAAGGCATTGTGAGCACTCAGATGATGCTGTGACTGATGACAATGAAGAATCACAGCCGAGCTCTTTGTAATGCGTGGGATGCTTTAAATCGCCCGCACGTGGCCCAATTCACATCTTGTGAAGCTTGTTGTCATTTTACACTTCCACCCCACTACTGACATGGTTTCTTGCAAGGCATATGCCTGTATGTGACCTTTTGTCAAGAGTTTTTCAAGCACTGGCATGGCTCTGTGGTGGAACTCGACTGCCAGGCCTGGGCTCGAATACCGCTTGATCCTAGACCGTATTTTCTCATGGTGCATGACAGCAGTTACGGACATTGCTGGCAAACAACAATGCCACCAAAATTGACTGTTATGATCTCATTATAAGTTCAGCTGAAAAATGAAGTAAATTCACAACTATGAGGCTGGCTGCTGTTGACACAGGCAGTAGAGGCAAGAAAAGGGACAAAAAACGGAGATTAAGCATTCTGTGTTTGGTTGTGCACGCATCAGCCACGATAAGGCAAGGGCTCACCGACAACCATGGATTTGGAGAGCGGGTCCGTGCTGGCTGTGCCGGGCGTTGGCCTGTGCCTGGCAGCCGAAGATGAGTTTGTGGTTCGGCCATTGTAGAGGGGGCGTCTCGGCGGTGCAGGTGTAACCAGGGCTGCACGAGAACCACTTTGGAAACAAAGGAAATGTGTGATTGAAGGCAGAACCTAGACAGAGCTAGACAGTGATATGGGATGGCTGGACAGGTTGGTTGGTTTAGGTTTGTGTTCAAGCGGGTCTTGCAGCAAGCCAACTCAGACATAAAAGATAAACAAAGGAAGACAGGAAAGTATTGCAATAGGATGGAAAGGTGGGCTAGTTGGTAATTCATCATTGTTTGAGGAACACAGACACGAAGCAAAGAAGAGGCACACAGCAGGAGCGCTCATGCTTTGTGCACCCTCTTTGCTTTCTGTCTGTGTTCCTCCCGCGCTCCCTGTTCGCTGAACAGATAGGAAAGTACTTAGCTAACAACTGTAAACTTGGGTATATTTGAGTGTGGTGAAATGCACATTTTATAAAAATGGGAATAGAAAAGAGAAGAAAGATGGTACTTCACTTAACTTCTCCCTTTTCTATTTCCATTTTCATAAAATATATCTTGCACTGCAATCAAGCATACCTAAGGAGTCTAAGCACCATCTTGTCCAAGAGAAGCCCTGGAACTGTAAACTTTTAATAAACGAAAAGAGTGTATATATAGTAACTTGTGAGCTTATTGAATTATCCTGTACCAAGCAAAGGATAGGAAAGTGGGCATTAGTCAAGCCACAATAATTTTGCACAGAAAGGGCTTTGGCTACTATGTCACTTTACATATCGGCACTGTGACTGCCACATTTTGTTGTGTACAGAAATGACAGGAAAGTACATTTGCAGCATCTCAGTGTTCATCTTGTAGCAACTTTGTGTTGACGTGATAGGAAAATAATTTTTAAGAATGGGGTTGCACCATTGTAACACAGTTGCCGGTCCTACATTGAGCTTGCAATACAACGATGCCGTTTGAAGCCATCTGTACCAGGCCATGTCATGACAGCAAGTCAATAGCCGATGAGTTGAAAGGGTGCACCCTCCAGAGTTGCATGCAGGTTTTGCATTGTGGCCCAGAAACTTGAATAAAGTGAGCAAGTCTCGATAGGAAAAAGACACATGGTGCTTCAAGACTGCACAACTATTTTGAAATGACAGACATGCCAAACATCTAACAGGTTCATGGAGACTTAATTGTTTTTGACAGGTTATGCACTCTCGTCAAGATGTGTACTATTATTAATAAAAATAATAAAAAAAGCTGCTTAGGCAAGATCTCTATCCCCTAGAATTCCTATGTTATCAATACTTCGAATGGTTTGTGTATCGCCACCACTCCATCGAAAATTCCAAGTAAGTAGCTTCGGGAAGCACAGCATACCGAAAACAAACAAACAAACCAAACAAACAAGCCAATACGAAGGCTTGGACAATGAAAGGCATCATAATATGGGTCCTCACGTGAACATTGGTTGATAACCTTATTAATGTGTCAGCTGTACAAGGATTTCCTCAGGAAAATGTAACCACAGAACATCCAGGGCCACAAACAAATGCTTTCACAGAGAGAGCAAATGATAGGTAGCGTGACAATACTTCATCGAGTGCGATTGTTAAACACAGCAAAGAAGACAACGGAAACTGGACGTTTCTGCAAGCACTTGAAAGGAAATTGAAAGGAATTGTACCCCGTCAAATGCAGTCTCAACGCTGTTCAGCCTGTCAAAGCACTTCGGGCTTGCTCCGATGCTTCAGGTATCTTTGCGCGAAATCACGATGAATGTGGTGCAGGCGCGCGACACCAACAACAGCCTACCCCGCACACCTGACGAACCTGACAGACAGCTGCACAAGGATCCCAAATCCGAAAACAGCGCGTCTGAGGAAGTCACAGAACACCTACCAGTTTGTCTTGGAAAATGGCGGCAAGTTTGAAACTTCCTTTCATGTGTTGCTCGCTAGTCCACAAAACGCATGGTGCGCCACATCAATACTTTTCATAAAACAAGGCTATCAATTGATAACGCACAATAAGCGAGTCCATCCACTACAGACAAAGAAGTAAGGGGTCCAAACCCACTGTTACCTACAGTTTTTCAACGTGGTCGCGCAGTAAATCAGATGAATAGGTGGATGAATGTATCAGGCTGTGCACTTTAGATCGGGCGGCGGCTCACGCCACCTAGCCATAAAGTTAAATACTAATTGTGTAGGTGTTCGTCGCGTCATCTCACGCTTTTGTGCCACGGCAACCTCAATATATGTGAAGAGGTATAGCATGTCATAGATTACAACATTTAATAAGATGTTGCCTAACAAAGAAACAAAAATTCTCTGAGACCGTAGACAGTGGCATAGTAACGTTAGTTGTAAACCATGATGGTTGAACCATCACAGCACCCTATTTTGCATTAGCATAAAACTCTACGCGCGAGCGTGGCCTTTAAGATTAGCTTTAGCAGCGTGCCGCACAAGCGAATGTAATCTCGAAGGCCATGCTCGAGGCTCTCCAACGATATTCGTGACATTGACGCTTTCACGCTTTTCATGGTATTTTGTCGCAGCGTGAAATTACACTTATTGAATTTACGTAATTAACATCTCGCGCTTTGTTCTGATGAAGACTCGTGTCGACACGTTCCACAATGCGCGAATGTTTTGGGACACTTATGCTTACACACAATATACTAAAGGTCGTGTGCTGCTGCAAAAGCCGGTGCTTGATCACGCTTCAGACAAGCTTGAGTAGGTCGCAGTGTTTCGTGGCTACTGAGGCATCATCTGAGTGCCGCAGACTACATTACTAAAATCTATACACAAATAAAACGAACACCTGAACAGTGACTTCGAGAAAACTCACCCGCTCCTGCTGCTGGTGTCAAATATTGAGTTCAAGTTCAGGGACGAAGACGAGGGTGTGACATTGGGAACCTTTGTGTATGGAGGCCTTCCTGGAGCTGTGATGCTGTTTGCGCTCATGACTGAACTTTATGAAACGAGTTACAGCAAGCGCCTCTCACATCGACCATCGACATAGACAAGGAGAAGAAAAAATGGCGTCGTCAAAACACACTGTCGTCTGCTACGTTTCGGCCGAGGATGTGTAGCATTCGATAGCTAAAAAATATGCAATAATTCAGCATAAAAGTTATTAGCGAGGACAAACATCTCTATTTTGTAAAGACTTGCTAGAAACAAAACCATTTTTTTTTGTGGTAAACTGACCGCGCTATTACGCGACCAAAACAAGCCTTCAAGATTACCATCTGCTCAACACTCCCAAAGGCCGTGCTAATTGCGTGCAGGTAGTGGAGGAATGTTGCAACCACGCGAGTTGATGCTGGATGTAGTTGCTTGAAGCTCGGGGTAACTTGGGGGGCAAGAAAGCGTCAAGTGGGGCAAACGGTGCTTTTTGGCTAAGGCAGCGGGTCAAGGGCGCTGAGAGCGGACTGCATTTTCGGAATTGACGAGGACGCGACAGACAGCGCCGTGGTATCATCATTACAAGCGATAAGTCAGCGTTTCGGCATGCTTAATTGAGACTTTGCTGCTAATAACTAACTTGATTTCGGCTCGTTACTCGGTCCAGGGTGGTCTGCCTCTGTCAGAAAACATCGTAAACGTTGAGGCGTGCGAGATTGCGTTGTTTGCGTCGCTACGAATGTGTGCGTCACACACTCCGGCTAACTCGGGAGGGTGATATTTAACAAAGGCAAAGTACTTTAAGTATTTGGCATGACGGAAATCTATGCCCAATAAGAATAGCCTAAAATAATTATAAAGAGAAATGAAATCACAGTTATAAAGGCACATTGACAGTTACATATTTTTTCTAATTTCCAGAGATGAGAAGTTTTGTTTGAGTTTCTGAGAATTAGGACGAACACATAGCAGCCTTATATGTAATATAAAGAGCAACAGATAAATACGAAAAAAAAAAGCATATAGTCAATCGTCACCGTATCTTGTAGTGTACCGTGAGATACAGGAATGAAAGTGTAATTACATTTACGACAAAACAATATATCAAAAGCATGCATTCGACGTAAGTCTCCCGAGATAATTATCTTGCTTATGATAATCATCAAGCCGTCATGATTGTCTATTGGTTACGGCGCTTGACTGCTGAACAACACGTCACGGGGTCAAATCACGGCAGTGGCGGCCGCACTTGCGATTAAGACGAAAATGCTTGAGACCCGTATACTTGGATTTAGGCGCCCGTTAAAGAGCACCAGGTGGTCAAAATTTTCGGAGCCCTCCACTAAAGCGTCTCTCATAAGGTGGGCAATAAACTTTATTGGGATCCTGCGGCAGCGACGAAACTATAGAGCACGTTCTCTGTCACTGCCCTCGTTACAGCGTGCAAAGACGGCAACTAGCTCCTGCGTTAGCTCGCAGAGACGACAGACCTTTGTCTGAACAATCAGTGCTTGAAAGACGACATGATTTGTGTGCTCGCAGAAAATCAGTGAAGGCCTTACTGAACTTTTTGCGTGGCAGTGGCCTATTGTATAGACTATAGCACCCCAGCCCCCCCCCCCCCGCCCTTTGTCTGCGCGCGTCTATTTCCCTCTTCGCTTTCTTTCCTATCTTTCTTCCCCATTCACCCCTTCCCCTAGTGCAGGGTAGCAAACCGGATGCACCATTTCCTGGTTAACCTCCCTGCCTTTCTCTCATTTTATTCTCTCTCTTATTAGGATCCAATGAAGAATCACTCCCCCCTTTTTTGCGCGCGTCTATTTCCCTCTTCGCTTTCTTTCCTATCTTTCTTCCCCATTCCCCCTTCCCCTAGTGCAGGGTAGCAAACCGGATGCACCATTTTCTGGTTAACCTCCCTGCCTTTCCCTAATTTTATTCTCTCTCTCTTATTAGGATCCAATGAGGAATCACTCCCCCTTTTTTGCGCGCGTCTATTTCCCTCTTCACTTTCTTTCCTATCTTTCTTCCCCCTTCCCCCAGTGCAGGGTAGCAAACTGGATGCTCCATTTTCTGGTTAACCTCCCTGCCTTTCCCTAATTTTATTCTCTCTCTCTTATTAGGATCCAATGAGGAATCACTGGCCCGGACGAGCCTCCTGGAGCCGTCGTGCGCGGAGCATCGTGTGCTGTCCTCGGCGATAGCCCTGGACAGCCCAGATTTGGTCCACTGCACGTGGACTGAGAAGGGCGGCTCGCCACCGGTCAGCCAGTCGTCCTGGGGTACACTCACACTCGTCCGAGTAGTGGCGGCGAGCACCGCACTCACACTCCCAAAATATATGTGCCATGTCGGCGGTCTCGTGCCCGCACCACGGACAGCCGGGTGACGGGTGGAGCGAGGGACACAGTCTATGCAGGTGTCGGTGATTGTCAAATGTGCGGGTCTGCAGACTCCTCAGATCAGACGCCTGAGAGCACTCCAGTAATCATATTGTAATTTTGAAACGTCAGACCACAACAATTACTATTATCCTTATTATATCAATTGCCCGTACATTTCATCAGGACGTCATTGAGACTGACCGCCATCATCTATCGTACGGTCTAAGCTTGAATTTGACTGTGCTTTAGGGGGTCCAACTTAACAATTCCTTATTAACCAATTCTAATTGGTTCAAAACCGTAGGGTGCGTTTCATTTTATCTAATTATTCCCGCTGTTTGAGTGTGTCATCATGAAACACACTCTGCAACTTCCTAATCTTTCTCTCCACTGCAAAGTGTCCTGGTTATCATTATTTAATATGATTTTTCAACATCCACACCTGAATAACGAACTCTTCTTATTTCTCTGATCGTACTAGTCACCATCATAGTTTTGAAGTGAACTTCTTTTCCGATTATTTCATGCCGTAGACAGCGAAATAATGGAATCACCTGCCCACCTCCATCATCAACCCTCCAAGTGCTTCTGTGTTTAAATCCCTGGTTGAATATTGTAGCCGTTAACAAATATACATTGCAACGCCTGTGGCATTGAAATGTACTGAAACACACACACACACACACACACACACACACACACACACACACACACACACACACACACACACACACACACACACATATATATATATATATATATATATATATATATATATATATATATATATATATATATATATATATATATATATATATATATATATATATATATATATATATATATATATATATATAACTAAATAAATGAATAAGTAAGTGGGCCAGTTTCTGTGGTTAGAAACTAACCATGACTAACAACTGCAACTCTAACAACTGACAATTCCTGTCACCTTACTGTGAACTTATTGAAACTTGCTGCATATGCACAATTATATCTATCTATCTATCTATCTATCTATCTATCTATCTATCTATCTATCTATCTATCTATCTATCTATCTATCTATCTATCTATCTATCTATCTATCTATCTATCTATCTATCTATCTATCTATCTATCTATCTATCTATCTGACCAACTTGCCGAGTCCACGACAGCTCCCGTCCTGTAAGTCACTTCGCTTCCCCAAGTAGGTAAGAACTGATCAGACTTTAGCTGAAGCACAGTTAAAAGAAAAAAGAAAATGTGCTGCACAAGCCAGAGGGATAAGCATAATAATATCTGGTGTTTAACGTCCCAAAACCACGTTGTGGTTATGAGACTCAGGAAATTTCGATCGTTTGGGGTTAATAACGTTCACCTAAAGCCAAGTACACGGACCTCAAATATTTTCACCTCCATCGAAAATGCAGCCGCCGCCGTCGGAATTCGATCTCGCGACCTTTGGGTTAGCAGTTGGAGAAGGATAAGCAGGATATGCAGCTAGATATATAGAAAGGGTAGGAGGAGGTGTCCGTTCCCTGGGGGCCTGACACGCTGGACCGGCTCCTTCAAAACGGAAGCCTCGCAGCTCCTGCTGCAGACGATGAAGCTATAGCGCGTGAGATGTCGCGCAAACCTTTCAAGAACCAGGCGTAGTGGGCGTGCGTTGGGTCCGCATGCTTCGGAATGTCACGTGGCGCCATCTGGCGGCCTCAGCGAAGCCGATCGGTGCGCTCGCTCGCGCGTCGTCTGCGACAGCCCGCCGGCAATCGATCGCGGGGGGGTCAGGCGGGCGCCAGCCAGAATGGCGACGTCTACGTCCCGCCGCCGGCGAGCGACTACGACGCTCAGGTAAAGCGGCGGCGAGAGGCGTTCGGGGCTTCGCTCGAAGGGGTGGTGCGGTGCCCCGTCCGTTACGGGTGGGGGGGCGACGCTAAAAAAAACGATCCGGAGATGGCGGCTACGCCGACGACCACTAGCTGCTGGGGATGCTTCCGATGGCGTCAGCTACAGCAGGTGAGAAACCCGAAAGTGAAACGAACACCCTTTGGGTCACGCTTTCCCCGAATTTCGTTTATGATCGGAACATTGTGGAATCGTGCTCGCGGCAGCCGTGCCCTAAATGAGGGTTTGCAACTACCATCCCGTACAGTGTAGAATTCCCTATCCGAATCCGAGGCGAAAATTGGTGTTGGTTTCGTATCCACTCCACTAACCTCTAAAACATGCGTGCGTTTGAAGCGAAAGTCGTTCAAAATTGAAATCGTCGGTGCTTTAACGAACCCCCTCCTCTCCCTTTCTCGTTTCGGGAGCTATACGCATCACTATGCACCGTCCCAGTACGGGACGCGTTAGTTTGAGTGTCTCGTTTGTTCGCGCAGTAAGGGAGATCGCTTGTGTTTTCGTTAGAACGTCTGTACTATTCTAGCAACTTAGTGATCCGCGGTTTTACGAGGCAGTTCGCAACAGCGTACTTGTGAAATTCGCTGCGTGATTGTTGGTTACAAAACGTCGGGATGATTTGGGGATCGCGGGGATCTATTTATGTATTTGTTTTTACGTACTGAATTAGAGGAAGGAAAAAAAAAGACACATGGACACCGATGCTACAACATGCAACACTGAACAACTGCTATAATGCGATCATTATCATCGGTACGGAGAAATTTATGCTTTTTGGGCACACTGTCTTTCGCAGGATCGCCAGTTTGACAAACGAAGTTTAATTTTGTAACTTCAAATATATATATAAAAACAAAGTTGGAGGTCTAATGCTACACTTGTCGTGTAAGCGAACGGTTTGGGTTATCGACAACAGAACTGGCCAAACATGCCTTTGATTAGGCTGTAAATAACATTACTGGCCTGTATAAAGAAAAAAAAAACACATTCCAAATGAGCGTATGTCACTGGTTAATAATTTAAGAAACATTTTGAAACATTTACATTTTTTAAATGTCAAGTTTGATCATGTGTGCCAGAAATCTGAGCACTGAACGCTAGCCACTTTCTGACAGGTTATCGCGAACTGTAATAAACAACCCTCTCCCTCCTTCTCTACCTTAAGCATTCTTTGCATTTTTGGCTTCGTTTCATTTTATTTGTAAGTCTGTTTCCGGAGCACGCACTTTCCTGTGGAAAATTTTGCGTTTATCATGTCTAAGTATTTGTTTTAGTTTTTTTCCCTCGGCGCCCTCTCGATCAATGCTCCCCACGTGACGCGTAAGGTGCTTATCAATGAATACTCCGATAAAGTGTAGACTAATTAGAGCAAATATTTCGATTTCCGATACTCTTTCCTGACGGAGTCCCGATCCCCTTTGGGTCACTGTAGCAGGGTTGCCTTGCTCGCTTTCGTCGTTTAATGAGTTAAGAGAGCTTGCTTCTAAGCGTTTTTATCACGTTAGCGTGAAAGAGCTCATTTCGCCGAAATTCCGGTGTCTGCGTCGTTTGTTCTGAGCGAAAAGTCAGCGTTTTCGGTGACATAAAAAAAATCGAGAAAGACGATAGAAACAGAAAAAGTCTTCGATTCGAGTGAGAATCGCCCCATGCAGTCCTTCTGCGTCGCAAGCTGGTTTTATACCACAGAAACACGCCTTTGCTTTAAACTGCATAAAAAAAGAAATATTCTATATTAATGCTATGCAGTGGGTGGAGTCTCCTTAACGCATGCGGAAGCGTAGAATTGTGGCAAGCGTGAAAACATGGGAATTACGCAATAAGTGGGTGTCCTAAAGTTCCTCTTATTACGAAGGAAAACTCATATTTGCACATTATCATCTGAAAAAAGCATCAACAAAGCGGTAACAATAATTGGTGGGGTGCCCCGCCACGGTGGTTTAGTGGCTAAGGTACTCGGCTGCTGACCCGCAGGTCGCGGGTTCAAATCCCGGCTGCGGCGGCTGCATTTCCGATGGAGGCGGAAATGTTGTAGGCCCGTGTGCTCAGATTCGGGTGCCCGTCAAAGAACCCCAGGTGGTCTAAATTTCCGGAGCCCTCCACTACGGCGTCTCTCATAATCATATGGTGGTTTTGGGACGTTAAATTCCACAAATCAATAAATAATTTTTGGGGTTTAAAGTTCCAAAACCGCCCCATGATTATGAGAGACGCCGTAGTGGAGGGCACCGGAAATTCCGACCACCTGGGGTTCTTTAATGTGCACCCAGACCTGAGCACACGGGCCTACAACATTTCCGCCTCCATCGGAAATGCAGCCGCCGCAGTCGGGATTTGAACCCGCGACCTGCGGGCCCAACGAGAACCGAAGCCAGGCTAGCAATTTGGAAAGCGACGCGTACGGAACCCGACTACGCTATCGTAATTTACTCTTGAAGGCGAAGCTGCGGTATACTACAAGTTTTTTATTGTTGTATAGGCGCATTACTTACGCCTATTGTATAGGCGCATTACTTTACATCGTTAATCTCTCTCTCTCTTTTGGTGTCTTGTTCTGAACTAGTTTCCAAATTTTGCGTTTGTTTCTCCAGTCAAAATTGAATATCGCCTTTTGATTCAACGCAACACTTCGTCGACCACCCGGAACGAGTATGAACCAGCTTGACCATGACAAAAAAAAAATCAAGAATATACGGTGAAGTGCCACTTGCCAGGCTCAAAAACAACTTCCTCTCATTTGAGTGTTATTTCCTTAAATGCCCCCGTTTAAGGGGTTGTTACATAAAACGTGGTGCTGAAAACGAACAATCAAACAAACAAGCAGTGATGATTCATTTAACGTTGAAGATGATCAGTTATGCGTTCTCGGAAAGAGTATAATGAGGCGATGGCGATCATGTCACAATGTAGGCACACTTCCTCAGATAATCATCACCATCATCACCTTCTTCTTCTTCTTCTTCTTCTTCTTCTTCTTCTTCTTCTTCTTCTTCTTCTTCTTCTTCTTCTTCTTCTTCTTCTTCTTCTTCTTCTTCTTCTTCTTCTTCTTCTTCTTCTTCTTCTTCTTCTTCTTCTTCTTCTTCTTCTTCTTCTTCTTCTTCTTCTTCTTTGCGCTGACACAAACAACGACGCTATGGCGATGACATAACTATCAATTAGGGAGAGAAATCAGCGCAAATTAGGGAGAGAAATCAGCGTAAATGTTGTGTGCATTGAGCTGCCGTTCCACTCTAGTTCACTCCGGTTCAGAAAAGTGCGTTCCAACGTTCGTGGCAAAGCAGCGCTCTAGACAGTTCTCGGCTGGACGTTTGGTCCGGACAACTCGTTGACGGCCTCGGGTTTAACTACACGTAGGGCAAATCGCTATCCCTCTGTAATTTTGTGAACTAACTAACTAACTAACTAACTAACTAACTAACTAACTAACTAACTAACTAACTAACTAACTAACTAACTAACACGCGGCTAAAGAGTACGACAAGACGGATACATCCCGACAGATCTTGCTGACGTAAACAAGGCTTCGCCGCTGAGTTTATCATTCAGTGGCGAAGCACGCTTTACAAGTCTAATTTGCTTCTTTTAACTAACTGACTAACTAACTAACTAACTATACTAACACGTGACTAGAAAAGTACCACAGGACGGATACATCCCGACAGATATTGCTGACGTAAAGAAGGCTTCGCCGCCGAGTTTATCATTCAGTGGCAAAGCACGCTTTACAGATATAGTTCGCTTCTAACTAACTAACTAACTAACTAACTAACTAACTAACTAACTAACTAACTAACTAACTAACTAACTAACTAACTAACTAACTAACTAAATAATAACTAACTAACAGGTGCCTAAAAAGTACCACAGAACAAATACATCCCGACCGATTTTGCTGACGTAAAGAAGGCTTCGCCGCGGAGTTTATTAATCAATGACAAAGCACGCTTTACAAGTTTCATTCGTTTATAACTAACTAACTAACTAACTAACTAACTAACTAACTAACTAACTAACTAACTAACTAACTAACTAACTAACTAACTAACTAACTAACTAACTAACTAACTAACTAAATACCTATGTGTAAGATGTCTGCCAAATCTCCAGAGATCTCGTTGACGTAAAGAAGGCTTTGCCTTCGAGTATATCGCTCAGCGGTGAAGCACGCTTTGCAAGTTTCATTCGCTTGCCCTTTTTCTTTTTCCTTTATTGCAACTCCGTAACGGCCTGCGACGGGACGGAGGGGTGGGGGGTGGAAGCGGCTCGCGGAAGAAGACCGAGGGTAATAAAAAAGGAGGGGAAAATAAAAAATGAAGCCAAAGCTACGCATCGCCTGAAATAGTAAGGGATCAATAGGGCGTGTAGGGAGCCAGGGAGCGGTGTTAGCGATACCGCACAGACGCATTTATGTATGTACCGCGACGAAATGTGAGCGGGGCCTCAACTTGTAGAAGAGAAGCCGAGCGGACGAAGATGATGACGGGGCGGGGATCGCCGTGATGAGGGAACTGCTTCACATAGAGTGAACGCTCTTTTTTTTAATCGTTTAATTTATGCACGAAGACGTAATACCCGCTTTCCTAGACTCCCCGTGCGTGAAATTTGCTCTTTCACTTACATCATCGCTGCAAGCGTTTGGTATGAGTTAGCGAGGAAGTCTCGCTAATGTAGCGAGTTTTGATGTGATGAATTTTATGGAGAGTAAAACGAGGATATCTGGTACGTTTTTTACTTTTCAGTTTGTAAGGTGGCGTTAAAGAAATTTCTGAGCTAAAATCAGGAAATAAGATGAATAATTTCTAGCGACGCGAATGACGATATACAAAGTATCCGATTAAACTGTGGTCGAGGCGATACGTACGGTACCGCATGAAAAACTATGTGAAGTGTGCCGCACTTACACGAATATCACCAGCGCTGCATGTGTTGGCTGACTGTTGACAAAGTTCTGG